TGAGCTGGCAGTCAGCACAGAGCCCGACACGGGGCTCGAACCCACGAACCGTGAGATCATGACCTAAGCGAAAGCCGGACGCTTAACCGACTAAGCCACCCAGGGGCCCCTGGGCTCCCTCTTTTGTTCCACTGGTCTGTATATCTGTTTTTTTTTTTTTAATGTTCATTTATTTTTGAGAGAGTGAAAGGGTATGAGTAGGGAGACACAGAGAGAGAGGGAGACACAGAATCTAGGCTCCAGGCTCTGAGCTGTCAGCACAGAGTTCGACACGGGGCTCGAACTCATAGACCAGGAAGTCATGACCTGAGCCAAAGTCGGACGTTTAACCAACTGAGCCACCCAGGCGCCCCTGTATATCTGTTTAATGCTAATACCAAACTGTTTTGATTACAATGCCTTTGTAACATACATATACTTTGAAATCACCAAGTGTGACATCTCAGCTCTGTTCTTTTTGCCCAAGATTGCTTTAGCTTTTCAGAGCATTTTGTGGTTCCATACAAATTTTAGGAGTGTTTCTGTGAGAAAAAAAAAAAACACATTAGAATTTTGATGGAGATTCCACTGAATCTGTAGATTTCTTTGTATAGTATGGATATTTTAACAATATTAATTCTTCTAATCTATGAACACAGATATCTTTCCATTTATTTGTATCTGATTTTGAGGCCTATTGATTTTCTATTTCTTGCCTAACTGCTCAGGCTAGGACTTCTACTGCTGTATTGAATAGAAGTGGCAAAAGCAGGCATCCTTGCCTTGTTCCAGATCTTAGAGGAAAAGCTTTCAGCTCTCTGCCACTGAGTATGACGTTGGCTGTGGGCTTATCATATATAAACTTTATTATGTTGACATACGTTCCATCTACATCTAATTTGTTGAGAATTTTTTTTTTATCATGAAAGGATGTTGCATTTTGTCAAGAGATGCTTTTTCTGCATCTATTGAGATGATCATATAATTTTATTTTTTATTTTGTTAATGTGGTGTATTGTATTTATTGATTTGCTTACGTTGGACGACCTTTGCATCCCAGGGATAATCTCACTTGGTGTATGATCCTTTTAAGTTTGTCAGTTTTTTTTTTAATGTTTGTTTATTTGAGAGAAAGAGCATGAGTGGGGGTAGGAGGGAGAGGGAGGGAGGGAGGGAGCTGTGGGGGGATCCGAAGCAGGTTCCACACTGTCAGCACAGAGCCAGATGCAGGGCTCGATCTCACGAACTATGAGATCATGAACTAAGCGGAAATCAAGAGTCTGACGCTTAACCGACCGGGCCACCCAGGTGCCGTCATTTGTTAGTATTTTGTTGAGGATTTTTACATCTGTGCTCACTGGGGATACTGGCCTGTAAACTTCTTTTCTTGTAGTGTTCTTGGGCTTTGATATCAGGGCCGTGCTGGCCTCATAAAATGAATTTGGGAGTGTTTCACCTTTTCAATTTTTTGGAAGAGTTTGAGAAGGTATTAATTTCTTAAATGTTTGGTGGAATTCACCAAGGAAGCCAACTTTATTATGTTGACATTCCATCTATATCTAATTCAATATATCCATATCTAATTTTTTTTTATATGAAAGGGGGTTGGATCTTAGAGGCTTTTATTTGTTGGGAGGTTTCTGATTACTGATTCAATCTCCTGCCTTTTACGGGTCTATTCTGATTTTCTATTTCTTCTTCATTCCATCTTGGTTAAGTTGTATGTTTCTAGAAATTTATCCATTTGTGATCTCTTTTATGTGAGTCCTCTCTTTTTCTCTTAGCCTAACTACAGGTTTGTCAATTTCTGTTTATCTTTTCAATAAAGTAACTCTTACTCTCACTGATCTTCTCTATTGTTTTTCTAGTCTCTATTTTATTTATTTCTGCTCTGACCTTTGTTATGTCCTTCCTTCTGGTAACTTCTGGCTTAGTTTATTCTTCTTTTTCTAGTTCCTTGAGAAGTTAGTTTATTTGAGATCTTTCTTTCTTCTTAATATAGGCATTTATCAACATAAGCTTCCCTCGTAGAACTGCTTTCTCTGCATCTCATAAGTGTTGGTATGTGGTTTTTCTACTTTTATTTGTTGCAAGATATCTTCCGATTTCTCTTCTAACTTCTTCACTGATCCACTGGTTGTTCAGGAATATGATGTTTAATGTCCACATATTTGTGAACTTTCTGGTTTCCCTAGCTTCATACCACTGTGGTTGGGAAAGACCCTTGACATAATTTCAATCTTCTTGAATTTGCTAGGTTTTGTGACCTAAACATATGATCTTTCCTGGAGACTGTCCCATGTGCTCTTGAGAAGAATGTGTATTCTGCTGTTGTTGGATGGAATGCTCTATGTCTGTTAGGTCCATTTAGTCTAAACTGTAGTTCAAGTCCAAAGTTTCCATATTGATTTTATGTCTGAACAATCTATCTGTTGTTGAAAGTGCAGTTCTGAATGCCTGTAAGAATCAGGTTTTTTTCACGTCAGCATTTTGTCACTCTTCTGTGAAGTCTCTCCAATTTTCTCCACATCTTTCCAAGCCCAGGGAGTAACATGCATTCTGAAGTATGATGTAGACAAAGTACATACGGCCTTTAAAAATCCCTGGGTGTTCTATTTCAGTTAATAGCAAACAAGGTAATTTGAACCATTGTTTCCAGTGAGAGCAACTAGAAGAGCTGGGCAAGAGATTTAAAAAATAAAATAAAATAAAACACAACAAAATCGTCTGCTTAATGGCATCAGATAGATACCATGGTAGGGAAGAGGTCCAGAATCCGGTGGACGAAACCCAAGAGGTGAGCCTAGTACTTGGTGAGCCACATTTCCCCCAAAGGCACCCGAGAAGCTGAGTAGAGCATCTGACAGACTCACAAAGATACAATGAATCTGATGAAAACTGGAGTCCCGTCCTTCTGAAGAAGACTACGTTAAACACCTTAGGCTCTATGTTAGAACCCTAGGAGAAAAGGCCAACAGAAAACAGACTGATCCTCACAGGAATTGATTCCTGGCTTCAAGCCACCTTTACCCCTGACTGGGTTACAGTGATCTGGAATTGCTAACGCCCTTGCCTAGCCACTGACTGGATGTAAGTTCATCAGCTCTGAAGGAAGACAGCCTCATCCAGAGCATCTCAAATGATCGCTACACTTTTTCGTTGCCCATGTCCATCCTCAGTTAAAAAAAATAGACGTGCAGAAGATAAACAATAACGTTTCTAGAAGATAAGAGAGGAAACTGGCTTCATGACTTTGGGGTAGAAAAGATTTTTACAAGGGGACACAAAAACTACGAACCAGAAAAGACCAATACGTTGGATGAGGGCCTTTTGTTTATCAAAAGACTCTATTTAAATGTGAAAAGGCAAGTTACCGAGGAGAGATATTTGTGTCACATATAATTAGCAAAACACTTCTATCCAGAACACCTAAGGAGTGCTTACAAAATAGTAAGAAAAAAGCAGACAACCCAATAGAAAAATGGGCAAGAGACTTGAACACGTGCTTCATGAAGGAACACACCCAATGGCCAGTAAATATATGGAAAGGTGCTCAACCTTATTAGTCATCAGATAAATGCAAATTAAAACCACGATAAAATACCACTACAAACCCAATAGAATTGCTAAAATTACCAAGACCGACAACACCAACAGTCAGTGGGGATGTGGAGCAACTAGAACTCTCATACGCTAGAGGTGAGTGTGTAAAGTGGTGCCACCATTTTGTAAAACTGTTTGGTGTTATTTTCTAAAGTTGAACCTAGGCATGTCCTATGCCCAACCCTTTCACTCCTGGGCATATATTCCCAGCCAAAAAGATATATATATACAGTCACTAGAAGATATGTACAAAAATGTTCATAGCAGTATTTTTTTTTTTGAGGTGGGGGGCAGAGGGAGAGGGAGAGGGAGAGGGAGAGGGAGAGGGAGAGAGAATCCCAAGCAGGTCCCACATCAGCCTGACATGGGGCTCCATCTCACGAACTGCGAGGTCATGATCTGAGCCAAAATCAAGAGTCAGACGCTTAACCCACTGAGCCACCCAGGCGCCCCCAAAGCTGTATTTTTCCTACTAGCTCCAAATTAGAAACAATCTTACGTGATCATGCACTATCGATGGAATGTAAATTATGGTATACTCATACACTGAAATACTATACAGCAATGAAAACACATGAACTAGAGCCACACGTGACAACATGGATGAGTCATACAAATGATGTCAAGGCAAGTAAACCAGACACTAGGATATACATATTCACGGTCCCATTCACACAGAGTTCAAAACCAGGTAAAACTACTGAGTGTTGTTAGAGGTCAGGGGTGTGGTTACACCCAGGGAGAAGAAGGGGTAGTGACTGGGGTGTGGTGTAGGGGGAACTAAAGATTTTGGTTTTTGACCCTCTTGGTGCTCAGTGAGTGTGGTTCTTTCATGATAATTCACTGAGTGCCTACGATTTGTGTGCTTTTCTATATGGATACGGTACTTCGAGAATTTTTTTAGTGTTTTCCAAGACCACGTGTGAACTACCTACGTATAAGATTACGACATCAACTTAAAGTATGAAAATTAAATTCCGGGTTTTTAGTTTTCACCCGGGAGCAAGTGAATCTGCTAGTATAGAGTCTGTCATGCATGTGGCCCATGGAAGTGACCTTCCCCACATGGACTAGCTGCCCAGGTTCTCCTTCCCTTCCTGACCACAGCATGGTTGATCGTGCGATTTTAACCCATTCACTGACACAGGCTTATTTCCCTTGGGCATAAAGCTCTGAAGAGCCAGCCGAGTCTGCCAGGCTGTGGGGTACCTACCCTAATGATGTCTCTTGGCCATAGCAATGCTCGCCAGGGCTGCCTGTGGTTGCGTGGTCACTGCCTGGGGCCCAAGAGAGGGCTCACCACACCTGTCCCAGGCACACAGCCTTCCTCACTCATCATAAGTGGTTCGCGGAGGACTCAAGAAGAGAACTTCCTCACCGCTGTTTCACGGGTACAGGGAAGTCACCAGAAAGGATACTTGTGGTCAAAGCTGTACCACAGCCTGAAGAGCCACGCACTCTCCTGCTTTGTCCGGTTCCCTCTGGCAGAATCTGGACCGTCCTAGAAATAGACAATAGGACAGATGCTTAGCTGGAGAAAAGGGATTAAAATGGGGCGCGGCGGGGGGGGGGGGGTGAGGAGGCGGCTTTTTTAAGTTTTTAACATTCATTTATTTTTGAGAGACAGATAGAGCACGAGTGGGGGAGGGCCAGAGAGAGAGAGAGAGAGGAAGACACAGAATCTGAAACAGGCTCCAGGCTCTAAGTTGCCAGCACAGAGCCTGACGTGGGGCTCAAACCCACGAACTATGAGACCACGACCTGAGCTGAAGTCAGACACTTAGTCCCGACTGAGCCACCCAGGCGCCCGGGAGGAAGTGTTTTTAACCGTAAGTTTTAGAGATTTTGAGCTCAGAGACAACCATCCTGTATCACCAAAGTTTCAGATATACTTGCAGGTAATATCTTCTTTTTAATTTAAATTCAAGTTAGTTAACATATGGTATAGTGTTGGTTTCAGGCAGAACTTAGTGATTCATCACTTACATAGAACACCCCGTGCTCATCACAAGTGCCCTCCTTGATGCCCATCGCCCATCTAGCACATCTCCCCTCCACCTTCCCTCCAGCAGCCCTCAGTTTGTTCTCTGTATTTAAGAGTCTCTTACGGTTTGCCTCCCTCTCTGGTTTTATCTTATTTTATTTTTCCTCCCCTCCCCCCCACCCCATGTTCATCTGTTATGCCTCGAAAGAAACTGAATAAATCCAAGAGACAGACAATTCAACTCCCAAAGTAAAAAGGCTCAGTTATGTCTGTGGGCAGAGCAACTCAGCGTACTACAAAACTTCTTTTGGCATTTTTTTTTTATTTTGAATACATTTTTTTAAATGTTTATTTATTTTTGAGAGACAGACCACAAGCGGGGGGAGGGGGGGTCAGAGAGCGAGGGAGACACAGAATCCGAAACAGGCTCCAGGCTCTGAGCTGTCAGCACAGAGCCCAACGTGGGGCTCAAACCCACAAACTGTGAGATCATGACCTGAGCCGAAGTCGGCCGCTTAACCGACTGAGCCCCCAGGCGCCCATGAAGAATGTTTAGTGACAGATGTGGAAATGGCTTAGTTAAACGGGCCCTTTCTGTGGATGAGGGAATAAAATAAAACAAGAGTCCCCGGAGACCAACTCTATTTCACACTTTTATAAATCATGTGGAAGAAAGGGCACAGGAATGTCTCCATTTGCAGATCACGATCATTCCATCAGGTAATTAAATGCTGGCCTAATGACAACTCTAGGGAGGTTTCAAAATGTCGCATGACCTCACAGAAACGTGGTAGATGAGCATTCTGAGGGGCACATATCTTCATGGAAAAATTAAATGGTTCTTTATAAAGGGACAAAGCTCTTGGTTCTAAGTGCTAAAGAAAAAGCTAATAACGAGGTGACAATCATCATCAGGGAGGATACCATAAACCATAAAGCACCAAGTCCCCCAAGGTCAGTTTCATCTGCCCCTCCCCCTAAAACAACAATAACGACGACACCCCCCCCCAACTCTGTCATCCTAACCTCCCGCCAACCTGCAATGCGTTATCCTCACCTGGAACACTTTGGCTCTTACCCCCTCACCTCGACGAAGCTACGGGGAGACTGGGCTAGGTCCCAGGGAGGGCCGTTACAACGAGTAAAGCAAAGGAAAGGTTTCTTTCTGAAGACAAACCAGCAAAGGTCTACAGAGGCTGCGGAGAGCTCTGCCTGCTGTCCACAAAGAAGGTAAAGGGACCTCAGAAATGTCAGAAACTAAGAGACACCTGGTAGCCCTGAAACGTCACACGTTGTAAATTCTGAACAAATAAAAAGAACAACTTTGTAATGGGGGGGGGGGATGTTGAACAATTTCTCATTCCAAGAGACGGTGTCAGAAGCACGACTAGGTACAGGAAGAATGTAGATACATCTGCATCTGGTGGCTTTGGGGAAATCAGGGCCGTGTCTGTGGAATGGGACCGATTTTTTCAGCGGACCCAGAAGACAACCAGCAGCTGCTTCCCAATGCGGTTTGGGGCCCCCTCCTGCTCCGGGCGGTGTGGGGCAGAACAGGGTCAGCGTGGGTGCAGGCTGATCCTCCAGTAGGAGCCCCCCACGCAGACCCTTGGCTTTGCATTCAAGTGCTGCCCACAGAAAAACCGGGGACCTGCTCTCTCACCACACCCCTTCCTCAAACCTGCATTCCCACGGGAGGGTTTCTACCCTGTGTCTGTAGCTCAACATCCTTTCGTACGGTCACCTTCTCCCCCTGGCGACACCTTACCTGGGCGATCCCTATTCAGCCTTCAGGGCTGGGTACGAGGCCAGCTTCTCGGAGGACTGTTTCAAAGGCAACACGGCACTCCGAGGGGTACACGAATGAACGTCACAAGCTTTCTCAACCAACTATGTGGGTCCAAATCCTAGCTCTACCCCTGGCTGTGCCGTTGTCTTCCTGGGTGGCCCTGGGCGAGTTTACATTGAGATATAATTGACCTCTAACACTGAGTTTAAAGTGTACAAAGCGTTGGCTTGATACATTTATCTACTACAGTATAGTCACCACTGTAGCATTCACTGACATCTATATCCTGTCACATAATTATTATCATGTTTTTTGGGGGTTTTTTTTTGGCGACAATAATGAAGACGGACTCTTGGCAACTTTGTAGCTGACAATACGGTACTGCTGATGGTACTTATTATGTTGGGCATTATTAGATCTGCAGAACTTATTTACCTATTAGCTGCAGGTCTATACGCTTAAACATCCCCCCAGCTCTCACACCCCAGCTCCTGCTCACCCCCATTCTACTCTCTGTTCTTATGAGTTACACAAGGGACTTATTTGACTTTTTATTGGCCTTATTAATAGAAAAGCCCCTTTAAGAAAATACCGCCGAGTCCCCTTATCTCCATTTTTCACGGATATAACAAAGAGTGTGTACTTTTTTCTGCATACATTAAGCACCTACTGTGTGCCAGGCACCATGCTGGGTACTGGAAACACAAAAAGGAATGACACTAGCACTTGCCCCTCAAGGAGCACATTTCCAGGGAGGGGGAAGGCAGACAGACAGATATGTCGACGGTGACAGGCGTGATGAAGAAAAAGAAAGCAAACTGAAGAACTGAGGAGTGGGAAAAGGTCCTATTTTTGAAATAGGTTTTTCTAGAACTAATAAGTAACGATTTCTGGGCAGAGCTGTATTTCATTCCATTCTTATTGGTAAAAGATAGAAACGTTTAAACTTAAGGTCAGGAAAAGAGTGAGAACAGCGTATGGCTTTTTCAGACACGGAGAATAGCACCCCCTCTCCCCCGCAAATGGTTCCACATCTGAATCCCATGCAGCATCGCATAAAGAGCAATAGGGGCTTTGCAGAGGGACTTCAGCTTTTCTAGGGGGCCCAATGCAACCACACACGTCCTTAAAAGTAGACAAAGAGGGCAAAAGAGAGCGTTGTGGTGGAAGAGGGGACAGGAAGGATTCAAAGTATGACGGGGACTCGCCCTGCTGTTGCTGACTTTGAAGACAGAGGGGCCCACGAACCAGGAAATGCAGGTGCTTCTAGGACATGAGCTTGACCCCGGGCCAACGGTCAGCAAGGAAACAGGACTTTGGTCCCACCACCACATGGAACTGAACTCTACCAATAATCTGAATGGGCCTGGCGGGGGGATTCTTCCCCAGAGCCCAACCCCACTGACAGACACCTTGATTTTGGCCTTGAAATGGAGAAACCAGTGGAGCCCCGCAGACTCTTAACCTACAGGATAGAAGACTGTTGGTTTAAGCCGCTGGGTGTGTGGGAATTCATTACAGTGGTCCTAGGAAGTCGAACGCGGAACAAGAGTATAAAGTGATAGGCCCCAGTTTGGGCCTTTTTCATGTCCCTGGCACGGTGGGGCCAAAGCCTCTCTGAAGGTTTTAAAAACAGGGAATCAGCTCCATGGTGCCGCTCCGGGGCTTTGCAAATTGTAATGTGCACACGACCCTCCTAGGGACCCCGGTAACATGCAGGTTCAGGTTCAGCGGGTGTAGGCGAGCCCTGACGGTCTGCATTTTTCCAAGCTCTCTGATGATGCCCACGCTGCTGGTCCACGGGGACACTCGGGGCGGCAAGGACAGATCTACTGATCTCACATCTGGCACTCCCCACCCGTGCCCTTCACCATATTGGCACCGCACCCTTAAGGATGGAGATTCATGTGTCTCGCTGGCAGACGGTTCCCCAAGAGCCTGAAGGAATGTCTGAAACAGAACAGGTGCTCAGTAAGTGTTTGTCAAATGAGTAAATCAATGTTAATTGGAACTTGGGGCGGGGAGAGAGAAGAGCCGGAAGGGAATTTAGGGACCAAGGGAGGCAATCAGAAGAACAAAAGAAAAGCATGGGAGGGGTGGGGGAGTCAAAGTAGGAATTTGGAGGGGAAAAAAAAGGCAATACGGCAACTGTTTGAAGTCAAAGATTTAAGAGACTGGGTATCAGATTTCAGCCTGGAGGAAAGCTGGAGAAGGACTCAAAGTTATAGGTCAACGCAACTACAAACAGCTGAGTTGCTGTACGCGCGCCTGAGCACAATGCTGTCCTTTCCTCCACATCCCCCTAATATCCTGCTTGTGATCTTGTCCTGCTAAGAGGAGAAATCCAGGACAAATTCAGATTCAAAGTGCTCCTAGCTCGTCCAAAGCGGCCTCATCAATGCGTGCTCTTCTGTATACTTGGGGAAGGAAGTGAATGGGGCGTCTGCACGTCCGGCCAACGGCCAACGTCAATCTCAGCTCTGTCTGGCATGAAAAGCTCCCCCCTTGAACGGGGAGGAGGGGGGGGGGAGAGGCCACCCCCAGGCCCAGGCAGCTTGCCTCCAGCTGGGCTTGTTTTTGTTTCGGTTGCAAAGTCACCAAGACCTCCGGAGAAACAAAGCAGCTGAGGTTTTTGTTTTGTTTTGTCCTAATGAGTCAAACTTGCCAGGGACGTGAAGCTGAAGTCTGCCCACAATATCCTTAGGCTTCCCTCACAGAGAAGCCAAAAGTCCTAGCCAAGAGCCCTTTTCCTTCACCCACGTGGGCTAATATTCTGCGTCTCTGCAGCCAGAATTCCTGGGCTTCGAGATCCAGTGAGGAAAACCACGCTGTCGTAAGAAATGCGTTCCCATCAGATGTCACTTTCCTGTTTGTTTTTTCAGAAGATTGTTTGGGAGATGAGGTGAAGAGAGCTGCCCTTTCTTTGCTAATGGGGAGCGAACATCTGGACTTCCCTCACTTAGGATTTCAGTTTCATGACATCACTGAGCATGTGACCGGGATCCCAGGATTTCACCCAAAAATGAGGAACCCATTTATTTCTCTGTTTTCCTGTTGCTCATGACCACGGAGTGCTCCCAGCCCTGTTAGTGCGTTGCTGCACCGAGAAGGTCAGGCCAGGAGGACGGAGAGAAATAAGGCCTTTGAAGTACAAGGGCGTGAATCATCTTGAAGAAGGGGCCCTGGGAAACCAAACTTCAAGTTCGCCTGTTTCTCCCCCCTAGTCTGACACCAATCTTGAAAGACTTTCAGAATGCCAGTGGAACGGATCTTGGGAGCCCTCTGCATAACTGCGTGAGCGGCTCAGAAGGAGGGGGATGAAGGGGCTGATGTGACAGCAGCTCGTGCTTAGAGCCAGGCAACGGGTGCCACTGGGAGTTCAGCAGAAGTCACCACCGCCTGCCCATTCACAATGGGCCCAAAGGGCCCTCCAGGGAGCCGTCAAGAGCACTGATGATGACCCCTCCAGGCCTATCAAGGGAGGTTCCTGAAACTCACCCCGCCCGGGGCCGGGAGCACTATCTTCGCTGTGGCTGCACGGAGGAGCTCACTGCCAGAACCTTTAGCACTTGGGACACACGGCTCGCTCACACATTTCCATGGAGAAGTGACAAGCAAGTTCGTTACGAAGTCTAGTTACAAGCCAGGGCTCGCCATGTGAATTTCATATGCGATGAGTAGTAAGTTCCGCTACGCGAAACCAACCAAACCATTTCAGGTGCTTCCTTTTACGGATGCTTACGTCCAGAGGCAGGAGCAATGAAAACAACAACAACAACAACAACAGCAGCAGCAGCAGCAGCAGCAGCAGCAGCAGCAAAAGGGCTGGGAGAGTTTGACTTGTCCGGAACTGACAAGATGAAATCTCCAAATCCTGGCTATCCAGCTGGAATTGGCCTGGTTTTCTCACAAAATTCATCTTGACCAGCCACGGGCCCCGGGAGGAAGCTCTGGAATAGGGCAGTCATAGCCTCCCGGAGCCATTAGTTTCCTTTCAGTGAAATAAAGACACTTCAACCAGGGTTTTTTCTTTCTTTCTTTAAATATTTATCTATTTTTGAGAGACAGAGCACAAACAGGAGAGGGGCAGAGAGAAGAGGGAGACACAGAATCTAAAACAGGCCCCAGGCTCTGAGCTGGCAGCACAGAGCCCGACACGGGGCTCGAACTCACAGATTGCAAGATCGTGACCTGAGCTGACGTTGGACGCTCAACCGACTGAGCCACCCAGGCGCCCGTCACCCAGGATTTTCTTACAGTGAGTTTCAAGGTCTCTCTGAGTGTTATACTCTAAAATTTATTTATTTTTGAGAGAGAGTGACAGAGTGTGGGCAGGGGAGGGGCAGAGACAGAGGGAGACACAGAATCCGAAGATAGGCTCTAGGCTCTGAGCTAGCTGTCAGCACAGAGCCCGACGCGGGGCTCGAACCCACGAACCGTGAGATCATGACCTGAGCCGAAGTCGGGCGCTCAGCCAACTGAGCCACCCAGGCACCCCTAAGTGTTGTCCTCTACATTAGCTTCTAGGTGCACAAGTGCTGAACACCTGTTTTGCAAACTCCTCAATCAAAGCTAGAGTCCAAGGGCAACTCTTTAACGAGAATTTCTCACTGAAACTGCAAGCTCCGAACACAATGGCCTGTTCTAATAGAATCTCTTCCTAAAATGCCCGGGATCTTTCAGAGGTTGTGGTTTTGTGTCCCTTAAGGAGCATCACCACCAAGATGTGACCAGCCCTGAGAAAGAAATCAGAAAAAGCGGCAGCAGCAACCGGGCCCTGCAGCACTTGCTAAATCTGGTGCAGGGGACGGAGCCGTTTTGAAGGTCCTCTGGAATCTTAAATATGTAGACTGGGTTTAGGATTCAGTGCAATGCCAAGCTGACTGGAAAAAAGACAAATACCCTCCGTGGCTTCATGGACAACACACGCGTGGGGTCACTAACCATTCCGGCTGTACCGTTAACTCCTCTCGGTGCCCCCCCCCCCGCCCATCAATACCCAGTGAGCGCCCCCAGGTGCCAGGCTCTGTGCCCAGCCCTAGGGATTCCATCTCAAACAAAAGACTTCCTGAGACCAAGTCACGGCATTCTGTAACAAATGTCTGTTCCCTTCTCCCCTCGACCCTGCCTTCCCGGGAACCTGCAGCCTCCGGAAGGGGCGAGCCTGGAGCCACCATGGGGGTGTCACAGCATCTCAGAATCACGTCTGTCCCTTCGTCGATGCCCTTCCCATAAAGAGGTTATGGTCGCTCTCCACTCCCCCTTGAATCAGCCCACTGTGACCGCCAGAAAGTCACAGACGTGAGGCCGGGAGACATGCAGGGTCAGGGAAGGCCATGGAATTTCCACCTTGCCGGCCGGGACGCTGGCTCTCGGAAGCCTGAGTCACCAGGTAAGAAGTCCGATGCCCTGAGGCCATGTGGCAGAGCCAGGCGTAGGCATTCGGGCCCCCCCCCCTCCGGCTTCCCTAGTCTTTGGGGTCCTCCCAGTGCAGGTGCCAGACCCGCGAGTGAATGAGTCTTTGGATGATTCCAGCCTCCCCCCTGCTTTCTACTCGGAGCAGAGACAAGCAGCTCCTATGCTACCCTGTCCAGACTCCTGACCTACAGACTCCAGAGACTCCGTGAGCAAGAGGATCTGCTGCTCACTTTCTTATGTCACCAGAGGTCTCTTATCTGCAACAACCGTAACCCGAGCCCATGGCAAAGCCACAGGCCACCACGCCCCTCTCTGCCAAGGGGACACCATGGGGATTCTCCGCAGCAGCGGGGACCACTCTTCCCTGCTGGCCTCTCCTGTGCCCACAGCCTCGACAGCTCCCCGCCAAGGCCGTCCCAGGCCGTCGCGGCTGCCACCACCCCCGCCTAAGCCTTAACTATTATGACCTTCAGCCCCTACAGTGGGGCAGGAGGGTGTGAAGACAGGAAGGATGTGGCCGATCTCAGGCCGTCCTGTTCCTCCAGGGCCTAGAATCCTCTATAACTGAGTTCTCCTCTCTTCTTCAGTTTCCCGGGGCTGGAGAATCTGCCCGGGGAGTCAGACCCCAGCCCTCCCCTTCCCCTGCCAGGGCATCACCAACAGACGCTGACCCAGTGACGGCAAGCCCACCACCAGGGTGTTCAATATACCCATGCTGGGAAAGTACGCAGTCAGGGACTTAGCTTGAACACTCTCCTGGCCGGCCTACCCCCTCAGTATGTTGTTTAAGAACGGTGACCCCGGGGTCAGATCTCGCTTTCGTGACTTTCTAATTCTCCAGCCGTCGAGGACTCACTGAGACTCTCAGACTCCAGCTTCTAATCTGTAAAATGGGGACAATAATACCTACCTTATGAGGTTGTTGTCACGCTCACAGTGAGGGACTCCATGTAAAGATGCGTGGCATGTAGTAAATGCTCAATAAGTTGTTGCTATTTTAAGAAACAGCTTGAGAGACAAAGAGAGCATGCATGTGTAAGCAGGAGAAAGGCAGAGAGAGCGTGAGCAGGGGAGGGGCAGAGAGAGAGGGAGAGAGAGAATCCGAAGCAGGCTCTGCGCTGTCAGCACAGAGCCCAGCTCGGGGCTAGAACCCATGGACCGTGAGATCATGACCTGAGCCGACGTCGAGCCGGACACTCAACCGACTGAGCCCCCCAGGCGCCCCACGTTTAGCTAGTTTTAACGATGTCTCCCCCCGGAAGAGGCCTCCCTTGTGACTTACCCCTTGTAAGACTTGAAAGCTGTCATTGCTGGGTGGTGGGTCTTGATCGGGGTCCACACCAACTCTAGAAGTCACCAGAGAAAAAGACAAGGAGAAAAACGAAGAGTATTAGCTGGGACCGTGGCGGCCACACTGGCGGAAGGTAGCCGAGAGGGCTGACCGTCTCCCGGAAGTGGAAGGAGGAGTTAGCTATAAGAGGAGGGCTGCATGCAAAAGTCGTGAGACAGAGGTCAGGTACCACGCCAGAGCCCAGAAGAGACAAGAAGTACCGTGCGCTTACACCCTATGCCTTCCCGCACCAGACGATCCGAGTTATCCAAAGGTGGATCCCACTGAGCCCTGCACCCCCACCTTTTCCTTTCTGCTGCTTCCTCACCTCTGCCCTGACCTCCTAATCTCCTAAACTTCTAGTCCAAGAGTTTTCACACGTCCGGGGCAGTGCGGGAGGAATTCACAGTGAACACCTGCATGCCCACCACCTGGACGCTACCAGTGACATTTTGCTGGAGTTTCTTTATCGCCTAGCTAGCCAGCTGTCTCTCAGCTGTCTAATTTTTTAGATGCATTCAAATAAACTCGCAGCCATCGGCACGCGTCGCCTAAATATCCTGCAACAGAGGTGACCTGGGAATGGGCACATCCGAGATCAACAGCTGAAGGCAGAGAGAGAAGGCAAAGTGGCGAAAGCCACTCACAGCAGATCCCACGCTTCTACTGGGCTTTAGTAACACGCCACCTGTCGCCTCGTGCACCTGTTAACTCTTCATCCCTGAACCTTCCTCACTCGGAGGCAGAGAGCTGTGGCATCCGTGACACGGAGAGCACGGGGCAACGGGGGAGAAAACAGAGAGGCCAGGGGCGCTCTCTGCGTTCCCTCATTCCCCCCGGTGTTGCAAAGAACTGTCAACTGAGAACACAGTCGTTGGGTTTTTGTTTTTGCTTTTTGGCAGGTCTGACTTGAGCCTGAAGGGAGGTGCCGAGTGGCCTCAACCAAGGGTCTCTGCAGCCGGTACCGGGGCGCTGACGCCGGTGGGTGGGCGAGAGGGCCGCGACGCCCTGCGTGTGCGCACCTTACTTTTCTTCCTCCGCCTCCCTCTTTCCCACCTGTGATGCCCAGGTCGCTTCTTGAGAAAAGAGGCTAATGGAAAAGGAAGACAGAAGACCATCTCCTCTCAAAGCCAACCTCTACCCTGTCTCATTCCAGGTCAAGCACTCACCCAAGGTGTGGAGCCCCAGAAAGGGGCGCTCTGGGGGGCAAGGGCACAGATCTCCCGGATTTTGCTGAAGGCAGAGTTTGAAACCACAGGATGAATTCACGGATTCGGCACATATTTGCCGAGTGCCCACCCTGCCAGGTACTCTTCTAGCTAAAACCTCGCGCACCAGATGCCAGAGTGCCTTCCTACGGGGCTGGGGTCTGGGAGGACCCCTGCAGTGAGGCGGAGGCACTTGGCTCCGTGCCTAGGAGCTGCCTCCAGGCAGGAGGTTCCGAGGGTTGGAGGCGTGTCCTCGTGGCTGGACATTACCCGGGGGACCTTGGAGCGACCAATCTCGCAGGGATTTCCTGACCGGAAATCCATCCGCTTTGGGGGCCTCAGGGCTGCCCTTTAAAAAACTCACACGAGAGCTTCCATGTGCCCAATGTGTCTAACATATCAGAGCGTTAGAGGTGAGGTTGCGTACGGGCTTCCCAGCTCTGGATTCTGAGCCCTCACCTATTTGGAGGCTCTGAAGGAGCATATATTCCAGAGAGGAAAGGCCTCTGGAGGGTGAGCGTGTCAGCGTTTATAAGATTAACAGCTAGGAATCCAAGATTAGGCCGGGCTCTTTGGATCCAACAGCAGCGCAAAGCCCCCAGAGGCAGGCAAATGGGCTTGGGGGAGCCCCTCACTGCAGGCTCGGAGGGGCAGGCCGCGGTCACCCCAGTGTTTCTCACACAGCGTGCCACGGTGCCGGGTGGCGCAGCAGTCCTCGGCCTCACCGAAAGGCCTGACCAAATTGTGGGGCAGGGCAACGAGATTACGTGATCTGATGGGCGTGAAACACAGCACGGCCAAGGCCACGGCAGTCCAGGTCTGCCCCTCATGATGTCTCCTTTCTGTACTGCAAATTTCGAAACAGGTGTAACGAGCCTTCGTAAGTGGCTTCCAGGTCAGTCAAGACCAAACAAATGGACTTCGCTGGCCTACAGGAAATAGGAAGACTGTGCGTAGGAGAAAAGGTCAAGTATGAAAATAAAACCAGATACAATAAAAGCTGCCAAATGAAATTTGGCCCCCTCTCTTCATTTAACGAATCTCTATTAAGAGGGGATAAAAAAAAAAAAAAAAAACTTGTTTCACAAGAATCCAATTCTGTGTCACAAGAACTGCTTAGAATGACTAGGTTGTGACTTTTCTCATTCAAGTCCTGGCAATGGCAATGACAGTGGAACCATTTATCCTGGGCCCGCCAGGGGCCAGGCCAGAATGCAACACAACAAAGCACAAAACGTTGAAATGACTCGATAAACTCACAAAAGTAGGGCCCCCCTAACCTCGTCTCAAACTTGTAATGTTCAACATTTTGTTTGGGGGAACTTGGGAATGATTCTAGATCCACACTGTCCGGCAGAACTTTCTGGGACCGTGGGAGTGGTCTAGATCTGCGCTGTCCAATGTGCCAGCCCCGGGCCACACGCGGCCAGCCACTGAGCGGTTGAAACGTGGCCAGTATGACTGAGGAACTGCCTTTGAAATTTCATTCAGTTTGGGGCGCCTGGGTGGCTCAGTCGGTTAAGCATCTGACTTTGGCTCAGGTCATGATCTCACAGTTCGTGGGTTCAAGCCCCACGTCGGGCTCTGTGCTGACAGCTCAGAGCCTGGAGCCTGTTTCAGATTCTGTATCTCCCTCTCTCTCTCTGACCCTCCCTTGCTCACGCTGTCTCTCTCTCTCTCAGAAATAAATTTAAAAAAAAATTTCATTCAGTTTCCCACCAAATGAGAAAAAACAGCAAGTGAACAAGTGTGCTCGTTCTGGAATGAATACATGCAGAAAGAATGTGAACAATGATTTCCCTTCTGGTATAAGTACCTTGGGATTTCATGGCATTTTACACGGCAGCTGATCCCAAAATGTGAATGGCTGAGGTCCTGAATAATTAGGAGGACCATGAGACACACACCTTCACGTAAAACACCAGATCACAGTCTGAATTCTCTCATGTCCCGGGGGATAATAACTTGTACTTTGCCCAAAGGACCTTCCTTCCTGAAGGTGGGGTATTTCAAAAGAAAGGGTTTCCTCTGCAACTTAACTGGTACCTCGAGTCAGGTCTCCGAAAGTGAACATGTGTGTCTTTTTTACAGTAGAAAAGAATGTGAAGCCAGGGAATTTAACAGCTTCCTTTAATTATCGGCACATCATTACACTGTGTCTGGAGCCTGGTGATATCGCAGTGAACATGCCTGATGATTGGAATCGCTATTCTCTCTGCTGCCCTTTCGCAGTGGCGAGAACAGAATTCAACCCTGTTCTTCAGTGGTTTATCTACCGGCCCGGCCCTGAGAATCAGATCAGGAAGGACGCGTGCTGATAAAGATACAGGAAGGAAAAAAGCAGCATTAAAGTCTTTGCTCTGCTTAATCAACATCGTCACTCTTAAGCATAATCCAATCATAAACTTGGATGGACACCGAGAAACAAATTGCATTAAGAGAGTCTTTATCTTCTGGCTTAAAGAACAACAACTGTTTTTATATCTTCTGATTCCCCATGAGGTACAAGTACACAAATAAACACTTCAAAACCTAAGAGAGCATTGGTGCTTTGTTAAGATGGTATAAGCCATACTCTTCCAGTCATGGCGGAAATATAAAATTCTAGCTCCCTTGGGGCGCCTGGGTGGCTCGGTCAGTTAAGCGTCGGACTTCGGCTCAGGTCCTGATCTCCTGAGTTCGAGCCACGCGTCGGGCTCTGTGCTGACAGCTCAGAGCCTGGAGCCTGCTTCAGAGTCTGTGTCTCCCTCTCTCTCTCTGCCCCTCCCCCACTTGAACTCCCATCTGTCTGTCTCTCTCTCTTTCTCTCAAAAATAAATAACCATTCAAATTCTAGTTGTCTTTAGGAGTTAAAAGCCTTGTCTACTAGATCAGAAGGAAGACTTTGTGGGACATGGATCTGTGGCTCTGAAAACGGACTGCTCTCAACGCTACGCTCAGTGGTAGAACAGGGGAGACACCTGCCATCTCCGGCTTTGGTGTTGGCACCCATTGTCCAAGATGCGGGGCAAGGGGACAGAATCTCAGGAACACCGACACATCGATCAACCCAGAGAAAGGGCGGAGAAGGGGTTAGACTTGACTCCTTTGCCAGAAGGGGCAGGGGGCTGGCGCACACACGGAGGAAGAAAAGGGACAAAACAGCATGAAGAGAAACATCTCAGGTTAGGAGGAGGAGAGAAGCCAGGCCCGGTTAATTTGTTTCTGAGAGTGCCCCTGTGTCACCTGAAGTACTGCCAGCAGCGTTCGTTCTGGTCCTCTTCGGAGGGCTCCTCGACGCCAACTCTGGGCAGCAGAAAAAGGGAGTGTGAGTGTGACGGGGACCATGGCGGGGGGGGGGGGGCAGGAGCTCTGGACACGGGACCTAGACGACGTCCGTCCATCAGAGAACAGGCTGGCTCACCACGAATATAGATCCGAACCCTCTCTTCAGCTGTCCCCATTGTCTAAGAGCCAGACAGGCCGCTACGCTTAAATTCAAAGCAACGATGTCAGGAGCCGGCTCAAATGAGATCAACTGGGAGGGAAGGCGAGCCTCTCAAAATATAATGGAAGGAAATCAGAGGAATGAATGCAACGCATGCATCATGAATTCACACTTCTCAGGAATTCGTCCGGCTTCATAAAGCAAGATACGTCCATACGCAAAACAGGAGACGAAGTTGTCACTCAACACATATTTGAAGCGTTCACACAGATTTTGACACACCTTGGACAGAAAGAGCAAAAAGCACCACGTGACTGAAAACAGCAACAGTATGGAAGAAGACAACGATGGCGTTTTGTTTTGTTTTGTTTTGTTTTTTGACACCAGTAAACACGTTGTCCCCAGGTTCAACTTGAAGGTCAGGAACCCAGCTTCTACTATTCTCTTTGCCTCGTGCCGTAGAGCTGGCACGGTCCATTTGCACCTCCCTTGACAATTTCTGGGTTATTCGGGGTGCATTTGAACTTAGCCATTGTACTCCGGGAGCAGGGTTTCGCAATCCCAGCCCTCTTGACATTCCGGGCCCTGGCCTCTGCCGACAAGGTATCAATAGCATCGCGCCTACGCCGTTGAGGCGACCAAAGTATCTCCAGACACTGTCAAATGTCCCCTGGGAGGCAAACTGCCCTTGGTTGAGAACCACTGTGCTAAATTGGGTGCAATGCCAATTGGGGGCGCTATTGCCCCATGGGTGTGAAAATTGGGTCTTGTGAGACAAAAAAAGAAAACCCCTTTAGATATTACAGTGATTTATAGCCCTCTGAAGCACGATAGTACATAAACGGGTATATAGCAGATCTGTGGTATTCAAATTTCAACTGGAAGAGGTCATTGGGAAAAAAACATTTTTGAAGGGCTCCTTGCTGGGGGGCGGGGGGTGGGCAACAGTGGTACTTTTAACTAGTCGCACGTTCAGAACGTGACTGAAACCAGACTCCGTATTCTCCGGGAGCACTGAGAGACTCTAACAAATTCCAGAAAAGCACACTGGATTCCACCAATGTAGGATTCACTAAGCCTCAGAACAACTTCTCAAGGAGAAAGACTAATGCTTACCCTCTGCTAGATGGTACGATGAACGAGCGAATTCTTTACCACATTCATTCACCACCCTATGCGGTCCTCATGCTATCGTCCCCATCTACACCAGTGAGGAAAGTGAGTTGAAGAGGCTGAATAAGCTGCCCAAGGTCACAAAGGTAGAAGAATGGTGGCACCGAGAGCCCTTAGAGCCCAGAGCCCCAATTCCCTCACCTCACAGAATGGGCCCTTTGATTACACGCTGGCGTCCTTAAACTCTTTTAAAATAATCCAGTTACAAATGCTATTACATAAAGGGCTCAGGGCTTCTCCCTGCCTTGATTCTTCAAGTTATCTCGCCAAGAGCTTTATCGGAAATTCTCCGTCTAACGGGATTACCCTTACTTGTCCTTGAGCGGTTGCGTTACTGCACGCTGGGGTGCGGAGGGCACCTGTGCGCTAGATTAGCTGCGCATGCCCCATCCCCCCCCCCCAGTCACCACCACTTCCTGTGCGTGTCACGTGAAGCTGGGGGCTCCGAAGAGAACAGCCACCATGTCGCCAAAATGTGCTCTGGGCACATATGCGACTCCTCTGCTGAAATAATCCTGTGGTCCTCTTTTTTTTTTTTTTTCCAAGTGCCAAAATCACGTCCTTTGTGAATAACAAGACCTGCTCAAGAGACTAAGAGAAATATGCAGTCTGTGCATTAACAGAAAACCACTGGAGCGTTTTTTGCCATTACGTTTTAAAATATCAATCACAACAATACCAATTTAAAAAGGGAAGCTGGATTTCTGGAAAGCAGCAACCCGGCTGTGGGTTTGTGTTGTATTCGTTTTTATGTTCTACACAGACAAGAATTTAGCCATGGTTAAAAATCACAACTAACTCCCAAGGGGCGCCTGGGTGGCTCAGTTGGTTAAGCGTCCGACTTCGGCTCAGGTCATGATCTCGCGGTTCCTGGGTTTGAGCCCCGCGTCGGGCTCGGTGCTGACAGCTCGGAGCCTGGAACCTGCTTTGGACTCTGCGTCTCCCTCTCTCTTTGCCCCTCCCCTGCTCCACTCCACTCTCTCTCCTGCTCTCTCTCAAAAATAACTAAGCATTAAAAAAAAATTTTTTTTCAAAAGTCACAACTAACTCCTTATTATTTATGGTGGAACTCGGGGCCCCACCCTGGGCTTCTGATTTTGAGCAGCCACTTAACACTTCATCAGGGCCTCTGCCAGCACCCTAGACAAGTAAGGAACCAGTAGGTATTGAGGTTTTAACCACACTGAACTTCAGGGGGGGTTCTGATTTAGTTTAGAATCAGAACCTGGTTCACATAAATGATTCATGGCCATCACGTAACATCACAAGCCACACGCCAGAAAAACCAATCAAACTCATAATTTTATTTCTGGTGTAATCTCTGTGTCAGTTTCTACACTTACGTAATCACTATTTATACACATCTGGAAAATGCAATGAACTAACGCCATGTGTATTTTTCACCAATTTGCTTCATGACGCTGTCTGGGTGGAGTTGGGACAGAAAGAAGGAAAGAATAAAGATAGGGGCAGAGACTGGTGAACTAAAAAACAGGAAAACAATACAGAAAATCAAGGAAATGAAAAGCTGGCTCTTTGAGAAGATCAAGAGTGTCGACAAACCTCCAGCAAGACTGAACGAAAAAAAGAGAGAAGACACAAAGTACCAGTATCAGCAACGGATCCAGGGGTATCACTGCAGAGCTCACACACATCGAACGGATAATAAGGCAATGTTAGAAACAATATAAACACGACAACTTAGATGAAATGGCCCAATTTCACACACTACCACATTACCCAATATGAAATGGATCATCTTAATAGCCCTAGGAGTATTAAAGAAATTGCCTTCACAGTTTAACAACTCCTGAAAAAGAAGTCTCTAGAACCGGATGGTTTTACGTGAGAATTCCATTCAACTTTCAAGAAGAATGAACACCAATTCTACACAATCTCTTTCAGGAAACGGAAAATCAGGGCACACGTCCCACCTCACTTTGGGAGGCCAGATTACCCTGATACCAAAAACAGACAAAGGTAGTACAAAACAAGAGAAAACTTCAGCCCAATATCCTTCGTGAGCCTAGACCGCAAAAATCCTTAACAAAATAGTAGCTAACAGAATTCAGCTAACAGAATTTTAAAAACTCCACACCATAACCAAATGGGGTTTGTCCCAGGGAAGGAAGGCTGGCTCAATATTTTAATTAATCGGTGTAACCCACCATATTAACAGGCTAAACAAGAAAAATCATACGACAGTAACACTAGGTGTCGGAAAAGCATTTGAGAAAATTCAACATCTGCTCATGATAAAAAGAAAAACTCTCAAAAATCTAGCAATAGATAGAAACTCCCTCAACTTGATGGGGAACATCTATAAAAACGCTGCAGCTAGTATTATATTATACTTATTGGTCAAAGGCGGAATATTTTTCCCTTAGGACTGCAAACAAAACAAGGATGGCAGCTCATGTCACTGTCACTCGACATCATATTGAAAGTCCTAGCCAGGGCAGTAAGTCAAGAAAGGGAAATGAAAGGTACTCTGGTTGGAAAGGAAGAAATAAAACTGTCTGTTTGCAAAAGAAGTGATGGTCTACGTAGGAAATCCCAAAGAATTTATAAACAAAACCAAACAAAACCCTTCTAGAACTAACAAATGAGTTCGGCAAGGTCACAGGATACAAGATCAGCATACAAAAGCCCACTGTATTTCTATATCCTAGCAATGAGCATGTGGAACCTGAAACTGAAGACAGAATAACATTTCTAATTGCTCAGAAGAGAAGAAATACTTAGATACAAAGCCCACAAACCACGCACAGGCACTGCATGCTGGAGACCATAAAACAGTGATGAAGGTCGTCACAGGCAATCTAAATTGATGAAGAAACATGCCACGTTCACGAATTGGAAGACACAACAGAAAACAAGATGGCCGTCCTCCCCAAACTTCCTTATAGGTGTAACACAATTCCTGTGAAAACTCCACCAAGAATTTTTCTTTTAAAGACAGACAGGCTTATTCCAAAATATATATAGAAAGGAATTAGAATAGCTATGACAGCTTTTTTCTAATGTTTTATTTATTTTTCAGAGAGAGAGAGACAGCGTGAGCAGGGGAGGGTCAGAGAGAGAGGGAGACACAGAATCTGAAGCAGGCTCCAGGCTCCGAGACGTCAGCACAGAGCCCGACGTGGGGCTCAAACCCACGAACCGTGAGGCCGTGACCTGAGCCGAAGTCGGACATTTAACCGACTGAGCCACCCAGGCGCCCCTAGCTATGGCAGTTTTGAAAAAGAATAACGTGGGAGTGCTCACTCTACCTGATGCTAAAGCTTATTATATAACTATAGTTAGCAGGACAGTGTGGAGGGGGGACCGCGGCCATCAATGGAGCAGAATACAGACAAACCCACACGCATCAAGCCAACTGATTTTTGGCAGAGGAGCAAAAGTAATGCAACAGAGTAAGACTAGTCTTTTTAACACATTGTGCCGGAACAACCAGGTGGCCAATAGGCAAATAAACAAAACTAATAAAACCTAAACCTCAGCGTCACAGCTTATATAAAAATTAACCCCAAATGGACCACAGACTGAAATGTCAAGCATAGAACTAAAATAACTTTTAGAAGATGACACAGAAGAGGGGCGCCTGGGTGGCTCAGTCAGTTGAGCGTCCGACTTCAGCTCAGGTCATGATCTCACAGTTTGTGGGTTCGAGCCCCGCGTCGGGCTTTATGCTGACAGCTCAGAGCCTGGAGCCTGCTTCAGATTCTGTGTCTCCCTCCCTCTCTCTCTGCCCCTCCCCCACTCATGCTCTGTCTGTCTCTCTCTCTCTCAAAAGTAAACATTACAAAAAGAAGATAATATGGAAGCAAATCTTCAGGGCCTAGGGCTTGATAGAGAGTCCTTACATATAACACCAAAGGCACAATGCATAAAAGCAAAAAAAAAAAAAAAGATAAATTGCACTCCTTCAAAATTAAAACTTCTGTTCTTTGAGGACTCTTCTAGAAGCATTAAAAGACAACATACAGACTGGGAGACAATAGGTGCAAACCACATCTCTGACAAAAGCCTTGTATCTATGCTAAATAAAGAACCCTCAAAACTCAATAAAAACAACCAAACAATCTGATTAGAAAATAGACAAAAAGTTCGAACAGGTGTTTCACCGAGGAAGACAGATGAATGGCAAAGAGGCTCATGAAGAGATGTTCACCATCATTAGTCGTCAGAGGAATGCACGTGAAGGCCACAGGGAGGTGCCCCCCCCCCCCCCCGTTACAACAACTAGGATGAAAACTAGCGGCAACACCAAATGCTGACGAGGAGGCGGGGAGACTAGGTCTGTCACGTAGCCGGTCACACACACAGTCGTTCCCGGGCCGCTCAGTGTGTGCTAGCTGCTATGTCCTACGTTATGCCAGTATTTCCACACTCCAGCGATCATGTGGGTACACGCACAGCTTGTGTGCCTCGAGGAAAGCTGCCCACACTCTCAGCTCTGGGTCGGGGAGGTTTAATGGCCCGGTTTTGAAAAGGGTTACCGGACACTGCAAAATGTCCCCAGTCCGCCCCCTACTCTCAGGGAAAGATTATTTGGTCCTATATATGTGGGGGGGGGGGACAAGGGGGCTTGGAAACGAGCAGGGAAACCACACATGATTTAATCGCGCTCTGTGCATCCAGAGCACAGAGCATCGGAGCAGAACATCATCTCAGACGTCACCGAATGCAAAGACCGTCACCTGTGCAGGGTACGAGCCTCCTTTCTTGCCCTCATTCTTCCACAGAACAAAGACGGTACCATCGTAGGCCTCAGAGTTATAGCGCCAAAAAAATCTGGCCGCTTTTTTCTTGAGGTTTATATTCCCATGATGAATTCTTTTCCCTAGAGATTCATGCCAGGCCATCAAAATTCTCATCACCCCCCATGTCATGACACGGCGGCGGTCCCTGACCCAGCCAGCCTTCTTACAGGTGGTGGAGCACGGTGGTTAAGGCTGCGCACTGTGTGCCAAGACTGCCTGGGCTCAAATCCCGGCTCATCCACCTAAAGCTCTGGGACCTGGGCAAGTTACTGCTCGCTCTGTGCCTCAGTTCTGCCCGGAAACCACACGACTGGCTTCTTTAGAGGGATGTTAACGAACACTGTGTTCACATCCGCGTGGTATCCCATACGCCAGCATCGCGAGTGGTAGCTACGACACGGCTGTCACTGACACAGTGACTCGGCTGCCACTGATGCGCCCCACCTAGGTCTGCAGACCCGCCGGGGCACGAGGCTGAGCCTCGCTAGCCCAGAAACGGTGGGGCTGGCGGGGGCCAAGGCCAGCAAGCCCGGCCTGCCACCGATACAAAAGTCCCAGGCGGTGGGGGAGACTGTTCTCTCAAATGCCAGCTTTCTCCCAACTTCCGCGTGTCCCCCCCACCCTGAGATGCCTGCGAGATCTCTGTGGGTCCCCTCTCCTCCCAAGGTAGGTGTGCTCGGCAGGCCGACAGGCCAGCACATCCTATGTTCCCGAGAAGGGAGGATCGCCGAGCCAGGAAGAAAGGAAGAAACAGCGCCACCTTGTGGCTTTTCAGGGAATCCTTCTTCGCACCTAAGCGCCGCTCGGGTGCTTTCTCTTTCCCTCTTTCTGCTCGCATTCAACCTCTGCGGCCCCAAAACTCAGGGGCGCGGTGGGGGCACCTCCGGGGAGGCAGAGCTTCACGTTCAGGAAAACTGAGGCCCCAAGACGTGACGGGCTGCTTCGCACCAGAGCCAGAGTTAGGCTCTGGGGCTCTGGACCCCTGTTCCGGGCTCCTCTTGCCCGTACGGTGCTGGGGCTCAGGAGCACTGTCTGGGATCCAAACGCTCTTTAAAGCACAATCAATCTGAGGTCAGCGCTCTCCATCCTGACACAGCTGCCAAACCACAGGCAGGGGACATCCATGCGGCTGCAACGAGTAAGGGTGCCGCAGGAAGCGCCACGCCTCTTTGGTGCACGCAGGCGAGAGGAGACACGGTTTCCTCTGCAAAACAACACTCTATTTGCCTCTTTTTATTTCTTCTTATCATCTCAGGCGGCTGAGCTTCTTCTGAAGGCCGCGGGTTTGATTTCGGAGGAATGTCAAACGCCAGACGCCGCCAGCACCTTTAAGGCTTTTTGAATTCTGGCCCCTGTCGCTGTTCTGGCAACGTCCAGGTGTTTCTAACGCCCTGGGTGTTTGTATGGATGAGCATTTTCCATGGCAACCCTTCTTCTCGCGGAAAACTCAGCGCCCCGGCTTTTTAGTTATCGCCTTTTAAGCCCCCCTGCAGACCCAACAAAAGCACCCGAAAAACCTACCACGCGCTGAGCGGTCTCACCCTGTGTGTGGCCGCAGGGACACAGTTAGATGCAAAAGTGGCCGTGCTTGCCAACCGACCTTATGTTGAGCCATGACAACATCGGAGTCGTGCCTCCGCCGATGATCCAGACGGTGAAGAAGACGATGAGGAGGGTGGTGGTGAACATCATCTGGCGCGCGTACGATGCCGTGTCACGGATGGCCAGCGCAAATGCCATCGCGCCCCTAAGGCCTGCGGGGACCGGGGAGGAAGATCTGGTTACAACGGGCGAACGACAACGTGACCTCGGACGTGTGGCTGCCCCTCGGGGCTAATAAACTGTAGCCGCGTATGTTTCCGGAGTCAGGCTGTCTTATATTCAGAAAGAGGGGCCTTAAGGGAATGTGGTCTTCTCTTGTTTGAAGTTTTCTTTTGCACACTGTCCAGGTGTGATGAGAAAAACACTGCACTGCTTTGTCCGGAACATTCTAGAACAGTAACACTCTTATCACTGAGATCATTCTGCTTAGTAACATGAAGTAAAAAGAAATGCAAATGAGCAGTACGAACATAAGCTCTCTAGTCTGTGATCCAGCAAAGCTACTCTGGCAAGTAACACTACAACCCGATCTACAGAGAGCGTCGGCAATTTTTTTCCGTCAAGGGTCAGATATGAAATATTTTAGGCTCTGTGGGCCAAGAGGAAAAGCCAAGGATATTTTGTAGGTACTTACATAGAAGAGAAGAAAAATAACACCCAAATTTCTACAAAATCTTATGGGCAAAAACCAAGAATAGAATAACAGTACAATTCATTGTAATACAGGGGTTATTAGTGAAAACAATGGGATTCTTTTGGAGGGCTGTATTTCTCTTCATTGGATTTCAAAGTTAGTGTCCTCTATAGTGAAATGGGTTGTAAATGTCCACCTTGGAAAGCCACTCTTAGCCATGGAGTATATGAAAATACACAGCTGATCCTTCTTCTACATTAATGGGTATTATTAAGATTAAGCGCCAAACACTTACGGCGAGCACAGCATAGCCTGGAATGAAGTTGAATCATTATGTTGGACATCTGAAACTAATATAACACGATGTGTCAACTGTGCTTAAGAAAAAACAACCCTGTGAGATATAAATTAAATGTACGCAGTTAAGTATATTCATATTTGCGCTTAATTTTCAGAGCAGATGCTTTGACCTACACAATGCAGCACTCACAAAGGGATTGAAATGGTAGTGAAGAGAGAGAGAAATAGCGTGCGAGTGGGGAAGGGGCAGAGAGAGAGAGAGGGAGACACAGAATCCGAAGCAGGCTCCTGGCTTCGAGCTGTCGGCACAGAGCCCGATGCAGGGCTCGAACTCACGAGCCTTAAGACTGTGACCTGAGCCGAGGCTGGACGCCTAACTGACTGAGCCACCCAGGTGCCCCAGTAGTGAATATTTTTAATATAATTCACAAATATTTGTTCTCCTTTTATGTGAGTTCTCATATTTTCATCTTGTTACATTTTAATTGCATTTAATAAGATGTTGTTTACTTAAAAGATTAAGCTCCCACACTTTAATGTTTACCTTTCTAAGCTCTTTTGTTCCTTCTTCATTCCCTACTCAGCATTTGTTTTACAATAAAAACTGAATTCGTGGTCTTTAATAGCTACTTGGTGTAAATTCCTGTTCACCGTGGGCCAGACTGCATATATCATGAGAGAATGAAAAGTGATAACCATGGTATCTGTTTGTGTATTCTCCCGGCTTTTTTTTTTAAATTTTTAATGTTTATTTATTTTTGAGAAACAGAGACAGCACAAGCAGGGGAGGGGCAGAGAGAGAGGGAGACACAGGATCCAAAGCAGGCTCCAGGCTCCGAGCTGTCAGCACAGAGGCCGACGTGGGGCTCAATCTCACGAACTGCGCAATCATGACTCGAGCTGAAGTCGGACGCTTCATCAACTGGGCCACTCAGGCGCCCCCTGCCTTTCCTAATAATTTGGTAAATTCACTAATCTGCGAACTTCGCAATTCACTAAAAAATAACTCAAAATAGTCACATCAAAGGGGCACCTGGGTGGCTCAGTCGGCTAAGCAAGCATTCGACTCTCCTCTCAGATCAGGTCATGATCTTGCGATTCATGAGTTCGAGCCCGGCACTGGGCTCTGCGCTGGTGCTGCGGAGCCTGCTTGGGATTCTTTCTCTCTCTCCCTCTCCCTCCCCTGCTTGCTCTCTCTCTCTCTCTCTCTCAAGATAAATAAACTTTAAAAAAGACTTCCGTTAAAAAACACAGCCAAGTTAGTATTTTCTATTATTCCATACTTGTGAAGTAACATACACATCTAGATCACCCTACGGCCAGCTTTGTCAACGATCAATACTTCAGCCTCTAAAGGGATGTGGTCTCAAAGAAGAAAACTTGGGGGTCAGGGAGAGACAAAGTGTGTTGCAGTTTTATTTTATTAGATAAATATCGTAAGCAATATGGAAGTGAAGCCCCAAGTATTTCGTCTGGAGTTCCTTTGATGGTGAGACTGTTTCCAGAAGGAAGTAACGTTTATAGGAGATACCTTTAAACAGCACTGTGTACGGCCTTTTAGTCCAGAAAACAGTGGATGTATTTTAAGTTTATCTCGGTGACTGAGTTCTCTCCAACTCATTTTGTTCTTTTCCACCAGAACTTTTTTTTTTTTTGGTGGGGGGGGGGCGCCAGGGTGGTTCAGTCAGTTAAGCAGCTGACTTCGCCTCAGGTCATGATCTCACAGTTTGTGAGTTCGAGCCCCGCATCAGGCTCTGTGCTGACAGCTCAGACCCTGCAGCCTGCTTTGGATTCTGTGTCTCCCTCTCTCTGCCCTTCTGACCTCCCATCTCAAAAATAAATAAACATTAAAAAAAATTTAAAGAACTTTCTTTTTTTTTAATGTTGATCTTATTTTTGAAGGAGAGAGCAAAGTGGGGGAGAGGCAAAGAGAGAGAGACACACACACAGAATCGGAAGCAGGCTCCAGACTTTGAGCTGTCAGCACAGAGCCCGATGCAGGGCTTGAACTCACCAAGTGTGAGACGATGACCTGAGCCGAAGTGGGACGCTTACCCAACTGAGCCACCCAGGCACGTCACTTTGCCTCTTACCCTGCACCTTCCCATATCCCCCCCTGCCCCGCCCACCACAGGACAGAGGTACTGTTAAGGGTCACCACAGCTTTTTGCCCCATCTCCTCTGTCTGCTTTACAGAGAGGACCTAACTTGGGTCGTGTTTTTAACACATGACGCTTACTACCCTTACACACCATCTACTCATGCCAATTGCTCTCTCCTTTCTTTACCTCCATATATTTTATTCTCTTTTCTCGCCTCAGCGGCTTCTGCACACTTTTCAGATTTATAGTGGAGAGGGGAGCATCTGGGAGACAGTGTAAATTAAGCAGAACTACCACAGCCATTAACTTCTGGTTTGGGGCTCATCTTCGCTTACGCGAGTGTATTTTACTTTTTGCTTCACGGGAAGTTGGAGCTAGGAGAAACCTCCACCAACTGGCTCCATTTCATTATTTTACAAGAGTGGATGCTGCAGCTGGGAGGTACTGAGGGATGCGGCCTGTGTTCTCTCATTAAAGACCCATCTCCTGGGGCGCCTGGGTGGCTCAGTCGGTTAAGCGTCTGACTTCCGCTCAGGTCATGATCTTGCAGTTTGTGAGTTCGAGCCCTGCGTCGGGCTCTGTGCTGATAGCTCAGAGCCTGGAGCCTGTTTTGGATTCTGTGTCTCCCTCTCTCTCTGTCTCCTCCCGGCTCGTGCTCTGTCTCTCAAAAATAAATAAGCATTTTTAAAAATTAAAAAAAAAAAACATCTATCTCCCTTCTAGTTTTAGGTCTGGAGCCCTTCTGGAAGAGTAAGGGTTATGCACATCAACTAGAAAACAATCAAGCACTTTAAATACTTCTGTATCTCCAGGTCCCCTGAGCGGAAGTCGGTCTACTCAGCGCTGTGGGAGAACACAAAAAGAGCCAGGGATTTTTAACTTCTGTCTTTTTAACGAACCTTATCAATCATATTTTGGTCACGCTGACACGCCTGCCCCAGAAAACTCATTTTCGTTGCATTCCTGGGTTTTTACCTGAAAACATCATCATGTGTTGGAAGTTCCAGCCGATCTTATGCCTTCTGCCCAAGTTGAGGAAGAAGGAGAGCGGGTAGATGTGTGCGGCTCGGCCCAGGAAGATGGCAACCTGGCCACCAGGTGGAGGTTAAGGGCGCAACGGGTTTCGTGAATGGCGGCTTCGCACGGCCATGACCCAGCGCTCACCGCACCGCGATCAGGAGGGCAGTGCGAGGCAGCCCGGCCATGACCGAGTCTCCCTCGGAGCGAGCCTCAGCTACAAGCGGGAGTCAGCTCGCCAACGTTCCCAACCTCCTGGCTCCCCGACGTAATCTCCAGCCCCCGTTGGCACTTCTTGATTTAATTACGCTGGCGTGGACCACGTCTCCCGTCTACCCAGACACGAGTCCAGAGATAAGCCCAGGAACCCCGGCAGGAGTGGGGAGCTGAGAGAGGAGCACACGGTGGCTTGGGCTCTGTTAGAAGGAAGTCACAAGAAGAACACATAACCTGTGGGGCAAGAGCTCATAAGCTTTAGTCGGAAGTAAACAGGAGGGGCTCGGAATGATCAGGAAGGTGTTACGGCCAAGAGGTGGGGACACATGGAGCACTTGGGACACTTCAGCTGCATCCACGTCACTTCCAGGACTCAAGAGGGGGGAGATCTGTCTACCCGAGTGGCTCAGATGCCTTTTGGAGGCGTGAGCCCGTGGAGGCAGAGGGGTGCGGACGGGGAGCTCTGCCAGGGTGAGCAAAGAATTCAGGGAAACGGGCCATTCTTCACTGAACAGAGCCCAGCAGGGGGCCGCACGCTGCCCTGGTCACAGAAGGAAACTGCCGTGGGACCCGCAGGGACAGGGAGCTTCCGTTCCAGCCGAGTGCCAGCTGCCCGGGGCCGCAGCTGTTTCAGGCAGAAGTGAGGGCGGACCCGTCTCCTGCCTTCTCCAGGGTAAAGGGCTGACTGCTTCCCTGCTTTTAGCTTTTTTTTTCCCTCCTCATTTTGGTTTTGTGTGTTGTGTTGTGCTGTTTCGAACGGCAGGAAAACAGGGAGTGCTCAGAAAGCACGATTCTAGCCCAGAAGCCAGGCAACGGTGCAGAGTGGTAAGTGGCGTGCGGGATTCCCGGGGGACCCATCGTGCCTGTCCCCAGTGAGACTTCATCTATAAACGAGGGTGGCAATCTCACTATGGCTCACAGAATGCTGTGCTAGGAACACAAATCCAGAGGACGTGCAAGGACATCTTGCTGAACCGAGAATAAAAAACAACGATCCTCTCACATCTGTAGCCATCAGTCTGGTGAGTGTGTGAATCCAAGCGATGAGCCCCGGTGGGAGCAGATTAACACTCTAACCGGAAGGCCTCCACGTGGCACTGGGCCACTTGTCGCTATCTAGCTGCCTGGTAAGTGTCGGCTCTGCACTGGCTTGTGAACGACAAGCCCAGAAGAGAAAAACACTCCTTTTTTTTTTTTTTTTTTTAAAGGTTACCCACAAGGCATCAGAAAAAGCAAGAGCAGGGGCACCTGGGGGCTCGGTCGGTTAGGCATCTGGCTTGGGCTCAGCTCACGATCTCATGATTTGTGAGTTCGAGCCCCGCGCCGGGCTCTGTAGTGACAGTTCGGAGCCTGGAGCCTGCTTTGGACTCTGTGTCTCCCTCTCTGTCTGCCCCTCCTCTGTTTGTGCTCTGTCTGTGTCTCCAAATTAAATAAACATTAAAAAAAGGTTTTTTTAAAAAAAGAAGGGTGCTATACAAACAAGGTACCACCTGCTAAGTACCCGCCGAACGAAAACCATCTTACCCAGAAAATGCAGAAAGCACAACCTTGGATCCTTAGATGCATTCAGGTCCACGGACCCACGTACGCCTTCTTTTCTCTCATCATGAAAACACCATGGGCGAGCGCTGGCTGGCCGCCCACCCCAAAGCAGACATGATTATCATGACAGCCTCCCCGGCAGGGGTCGCCTGTCCACATCGAAAACGGCGGAACCAAAAAGAAAAAGGATACAAAAGCTCCGATGATGAAAATGGGGCTGAAAACGTGCTTCTGGAAGGTAAAGAGCGCCAGGCCCATGTAGGAGAAGATGAAGTTCTCTGCCAGGAAGTGTAACACCTGAAATAGCTGCACAGAAGGGGAAAAGGAAGATGTAAGCCGTGTGGGCCCCTCCCTGGTCACTCGTGAGGTCCCAGGGCCCACTCTCACCTGCTTCGTTCGACTTCTCGATTCCACTGACAGATTGTTGTAGGTGTAATGAGCCTGCGTGATTCCACAGAAGAGAACAGCCACAACGCCTGGGGAGGGGGTTTTAAAAAAGAAAAAAAAATCAACGTGGGGGGGGAAGGAAGCAGGAAAACAAATCCCCACTGAAACAAAAAGTTAAGGTAGGCAGGCCCAAACTTACCCAACTTCCGGGACAGTTTGGAAAGTTTCCAATTCCTGAAGGTTCCCCCTGCCCCCACCACTCCTATCAAGCTTTCCTTCTTCTCACTCTGCCCTCCTTCAAAGCCAAGGTCCCCGACTTCCCTTCTGGCTCCGGTTTTAAGGGTATTCTCTCCCCCCTCCCCCCCCCCCCCCCCCCCCCCCCCCCCCCAACTCCTCCTTAATTTGGCATTTAGCATTCATGTCTTCAAGGAGGCCGTGAGGACCCCTCATCCCCTTTTCTCAGAAGCCAGGATTTCATTCCAAGNCCCCCCCCCCCCCCCCCCCCCGCAAACTCCTCCTTAATTTGGCATTTAGCATTCATGTCTTCAAGGAGGCCGTGAGGACCCCTCATCCCCTTTTCTCAGAAGCCAGGATTTCATTCCAAGCAAATGCTTTCTGGTTTTGCATGGCCTCGGGCCTCACACAGAATGGATCCGTGTATCCGAGCCTTGATTACCTCGATTTCTGATTAACGGCAACCATTTAATCGTGGGAGACAACTGACACGGGGACTTTTGTCTATACATTTACAAATAATTGTCACGTTGTAAAGCACTGGGGTATTTTATAATGCTGCCTGCAAATGCATGTTGCAGTATTTTGAAAAAGACGATAAAAGGGCTTCCCAACTATCCGGCTCATATATAGTCATTGTACTTCAGTTTTCCAGTGGAAAAATTTAGTGATTACAAAAAATGTTTATTTTTAAGAGAGAGCGAGCGAGCGAGCAGTGGAGGAGCCAAGAGAGGGGGACAGAGGATCTGAAGCGGGCTCTGTCAGCACAGAGCCCGATGCAGGGTTCGAACCCACAAACCATGAGATGATGCCCTGAGCCAAAGTTGGACGCTTAACCAACTGAGCCATCCAGGTGCCCCTGTGATTTTTTTTTTGTTTTGTTTTTGACAAGAGGATGTGAGGAACTAAAATCACAAGGTCCCTCATACTAATAACACATGAAACTGACATCAGAAAAACACGGCACTGAAAAACAATGATTAAACAGACCAGAGACAAAACAAGGAAAGGCTGTGTCCGCATTCATGTCAGTAGATGGGAAGTCACCCTTACAAGGACACCTATTTCGTTATTGTTCCTGCTTGTAAAATAAGTAGCAATCTAGGGGCGGAAACGAGTAAGATGTTAATGTAACCAATAACCTTTGCCACTAAGCTGCCTCCTTACAGCTCGAAGGAGGGGTACTCGAGGGAGTACTCCAAGGCATCTGCACTTGCAACAGAAAATTTCAGCCTTTACAAATGTAGAGCTCTGGGCAACAAAGTGATTCCTCAAGCGGAACACCAACCTCGCTCAGCGAGCCTCATAGGGACACTTTGCGGGCAGTTAATCGGCTCCATGTGGCTGCCCCACGGCCCCCCCCTCCGGTTCCCAGGGTCCCGGCTACAGTGGGGGGAAGGGCAGCCCAAGGGTAGGGTGAACCCACCTGTAAAGCCACAGGCTTCCGCCAGAAGGAACGTGCTCCAGGACATCAGGAAGAAGAGCGCCGTCTCCAGGAGGGGAAAGCAGTGCAGCTTGGTGAACTTGGTCACGTGGCCCCTGTCAAGGAACTTGGCTCCGGGGAACAAGTTACCAGGGCCACCAGGAGCCACGCTCCCTCAGCCCGGGATGCCCCACCCCTCCCTAAGGGCTATCCTTTCCCTTCAGCACTACTTTCGGGGGCCCCAAAGCCACTGCTCAGTTTTTTGTTTTTGGTTTTCTGGTTTTTTTTTTTATTTCTAGGAGAGAGAGAGAGAGAGAGACAGCGTGAGCAGGGGAGGGTCAGAGAGAGAGGGAGTCACAGACTGAAACAGGCTCCAGGCTCTGAGCTGGCAGTCAGCACAGAGCCCGACGCGGGGCCTGAACCCACGAACCGCGAGATCATGACCTAAGCGAAAGTCGGACGCTTAACCGACTAAGCCACCCAGGCGCCCCCGCTGCTCGGTTTTTAGAGTCATGAAAACAGAGTTCTTTCTGGCAGAAAAGAGGTTATCGAGGGCTGGGACAGAGGAGAAAGGGGGTTAGCGCTGCCTGGGTACACGGCTTCTGGCTGGGATGATGAATAGGTTCTGAAAACAGGCAGTGGGGATGCTTCTGCAGACAATGTGGGCACACTTAATGCCACTGAGGTGCACCCTGAGAAGTGGTTCAAGTGGCAAGTTGTGTTATATGTGTTTTATCACAATTGAAAAACCCCCGATAATGTAGCATGCCGAAAATCATTTAATGGTACACTTCAAATGGGTGAATGGTACGGAACGGGAATTTTGTCTTAACAAAGCTGTCCTTAGAAATCGAGCTTTCTGGGGCGCCTGGGTGGCCCAGCCGATTGAGTGTCTGACTCCAGCTCGGGTCATGATCTCATGGTTCGTGGGTTTGAGCCCCATGTCGGGCTCTGTGCTGACAGCTCAGAGCCTGGAGCCTGCTTCCGAGTCTGTGTCTCCCTCTCTCTCTGCCCCTCCCCTCTCTCTCTCTCTCTCTCTCTCAAAAAGAAACATTAAAAAAATTTTTTCCTTAGAAATCGAGCTTTCTAAAGAAACCGAAAAGAGGTTTTCTGTGCTCTTTGCAATGCCCCTGGCTCTGAGGGGCACGATCTTGGCCTGAGGAATGACTGGTTGGTCAGTCCTAGCAGTGCCGGGGGGGTTCTCAGGCAGGCCAGAGGACACTAGGCCAGTGAGACTGTGACCTCTGTGGGCCACCATGACCTGAGTCCACAGCAGATGTCCCATGAAGGCAGGGGCCAGAGACAGGGCCCCATAACACTGCCCTTCCACAGTGGCCCAGCCTGCATCTCATAAGTGCTTTCCCTAAACACTGGAAGTCGCTGGGCCATCCAAAGGGCCTCTGTGAAGAAAGAAACTAGATTCGTGCCATCCAATATGGCAGCCACTAGCCACCTGTGGCTGAGATACGCTGGAAGAGCAAAATGTGTGCCACATTTCGAAGACTTAACATAAAACTGAATGTACAGAGTCTCATTAACAATTTGTATAAAAGGGGCACCTGGGTGGCTTAGTCGGTTAAGCGTCCGACTTTCGCTCAGATCATGATCTCGCGGTTCGTGGGTTTGAGCCCCGCGTCGGGCTCTATGCTGACTGCCAGCTCAGAGCCTGGAGCCTGTTTCAGTCTGTGACTCCCTCTCTCTCTGACCCTCCCCTGCTCACGCTGTCTCTCTCTCTCCTAGAAATAAATAAAAATATTAAAAAAAAATTTTTTTTAATTAAAAAAAAAAACAATTTGTATAATGATTGGAGGCTGAGACAGGTGGCTGGCACTTGCGGCTCCCGTTACATTGTCCGGGCAGTGGTGATGTGAATGCCATCAAAAGGAGATATGATGAAGGATTCGGCACAGCAACCGGGGGGGTGCGCCTGCTCGTTCCACACTTTGCTTTTATGTTGCCTGCTTGGTTTTTAACTCGGTATTACACAATCCTTCATTTAAGGGAGGCCACCTTGCAGCAATTCCCACCGATGGCCTCAGGTAGTTAACGGCCACGTGAGCCCTGTGACCCATAACAGCAGATGGCAGTAGCGAGCTCGCGGCCTGAAGGACTTCCCAGCCTGCTTCCCTCCCTCCCCGCCTCCTGTGTGGTGGTCCCTGATCCCCTGCCTCCTCCTGGCTCTTTCCACCAAGTTTTCCCTGAATTCGCATCTCCATCTGGTTCACTGGAGGAAGTGAATGCATTGGGGGGGGGGGCACAGAGCCATGGCCAGAGTCACACTCCCCAACATTTTCTCGGACTCTTGGAAGCATGCTCGACAGTCACGTGTCACCAAAGGGACACGTTTCAGGAGCCTCCGGACCCCAGTAGAACCACTGATTTAAGATTCGTTTCTGGGGGGGAAAAATTCACTCCTGGAAGGGAGAACCGAGACCTCGCTGCTGCGTGTGGGACAGCACACAATCCTCCCAGGGCGGGCCCACGGGGACCCCAGAAAGGATATTAGAGCTGTCACGACGCCGGTTACGGCTCCCATGGTAAAAGAGCCACTGAAGATACCCAGGAAAATGCCAACTGATTTGAAGAAGGCAGCGGCATCAAAGGCGTGGGTGTTGAGCCCCGCCGGCTGGTAGGCGACAATTGACCTGGGGTTTGAACAGAAGAGAGTTAAAACGGAGCGTGCTGCCTTTATACCACGGCCCCTAAAAACACCCACAAACACGGGCATCTACGCGCCGCCAAGCACTCCGTGTGGTGTAAGCCATCTGCCCCACAGTCAGCCTGTCACAGTGGCGTCGGCGCTCCGATCGCTGCCAAGCGGACAAAGGGACATACCTTCGTCAACCGCGCTGATAAAGCCTCATTGAGGAAAAGAGCCACTTTGCTGTTGAACGCTTCTAAGATGAGCCTCTGAATGTGGCCCAGAGCACTCGGGGAGCCTCCCTTCCCCGGAGCCTCCCTTCCCTGGTGGTGGGGTGGGGGGACACATGCTGTTACTTACGAGGACAGGACAATGGCAACGGCATCATTTAGGACGCTTTCTCCAAACAGGAGTGCGTAGAGGTCCACGTCCGCGTGCAGTTCGTTAAATATCGCCAGTACGGTCACTGAAAATGGGCACAAAGCATGTGAATTCGTTTCCATTTCTGGCCCGGAGCCACCAACGACACTTGTAGAGAGGCGATTCCTGCCTCTGGCGGGACGAGGTGGTTTGGGAGACAGTAAGGGAGTCAAAGACAGGCGGTGTGTCTACAGCACAAAGGAAAACGCCAATCTTCCTGGTCTAGGTGGGGTCTCACATGATGGATACTTGAGTGTAATGACACTGCACTGCGACTCTGCACTTCCTAGTGCAACCCCATCATGCTTTGAAAATACTGCTATTACAGAACTTAGAAAAAGTAATAATAATCACGGTTCGTGTGATCTGGCTCCCCTGGTCGGATGAAATCTCTTTGAAGGCAGAAACCTTATTTCACTGACCACCATGTTCCCAGAACCCAGGATAGGGTCAGGGCGCAGAGAAGGCTTTCGTAAAGGTCTGTGAAATAATGGAACTCTTCTTTTAGGGCACACCAGACATCTGTCATAGCTCATACTCTTCACAGATCTTAGACGTTTAAAAAGCAGCTATTCTCCAGGGGCGCCTGGGTGGCTCAGTCGGTTGGGTGTCTGACTTCAGCTCAGGTCATGATCTTACGGTCCATGGGTTCGAGCCCCACATCCCACTTTGCGGATGGATGGAGCCTGCTTTGGATTCTGTACCTCCCTCTCTCCCTGCCCCTCTTCCGCTCATGCTCTGTCTCTCTCTCAAAATAAATAAACATTAAAAGAAATTGTTTTAAATGAATAAAAAACAGCTATTCTCCAGATGACCAGTTCTCAAACTTTTGGGCTCAGGACTCCTTTATACTCTTAAAAATCAGTGAGGCCCCTGACGGCCTTTAGTTCTGTGAACTGTGGGCCATCGAGATTACTGTATGAAATAAGATAAAAATTCACATATTTATGCATTTAAAATTAGTAATAAACCTATCACATGCTAACGTACATATTTGTAATGAAAAACAACGACCTTTTCCGAAACAGAACTAGTGAGAAGACAGCCACTCTTCTACAGGTTTTCTGGTCTCTTTACGATCTCGATTGAGGGGAGACAGATAGTTCTCTTATCTGTTTCTACATCTGACCAACAGATAGTCAGTAATACGTATTATGTAACCTCTGGAAAACCCCACAATACCGCACACTCATGAAAACATGAAGGTTAAGAGAGACAAATAAGGTATTTCTCTTATTATTAGATCCGTTGGGACCTTGCGGACCCTCCCAAACGCATTTCGGAGTCTCTCAGATCTGGTGCTGCTGACACTTCGGGCTGCCCTGTGCACTGTGGGGCGTTTGGCAGTATCCTTGGCCTTTCCCCACTAGCGACCAGTAGCACCGCACCACCCCTCCACCAATTGTGACAATCGAAAATGTCTCTTGAGGGGCAAAATAGCCCCCAGTGAAGAACATGCAAGCAGGCTCCTCAATATTCACACCCAGCTACCTGCTGCTTTGTTCTTTTATTTATTTTTTTTATCTTAGAGAGAGCACAAGTGGGGGAGGGGCAGAGAGAGAGGAGACAGCAGAGAGCTTGACACAGGGCTCGAACCCATTAACTGCGAGATCATGACCCAAGCTGAAGTCAGACATTTAACCGACAGAACCACCCAGGCGCCCCTTATTATATTTTTTATTTGAGAGAGAGAGAGAGAGAGCGTGAGAGCCGGGGAGAGGGGCAGAGGGAGAAAGAGGGAACCCCAAGCCAGCTCCACACTCAGCATGGGGCCCAATGCCGGGTTTGATCCCACAACCCTGGGATCATGACCTGAGCCAAAATTGAGAGTTGGACACTCAACTGACAGAGCCACCCAGGTTCCTCTAAATTTATTTTTTTTTTATACCTTTTTACACCTTGTTTGCTGCCTGGGTTCTTCATCTGTTTCCTTCTGTCAACTCTTCCCATAATGCTCCACTGTTTTACTCCTCTAGTTTCTGAATTTTCCAATCCCGATACATACAGTTCCTTCATAACCTCTATCATTTTCTCAATTTCCTTTAGCTTCTATTGGAATATTAGCAATAGTCTGCTTTGGTACCCAATTTTGCTGATATGACTTTATCAGTATTCAGAGGGCGAGCCTCATTTTTTTCTTACAATATGTTTGCATCAAGTCGACCTCAATCTATTTCTGCGGCTCATTGTTAGGTGAAGTGGTTAGACCCAGAACCGCTTTCCTCGTTTCATGGCTCTAGGGCTCCCTCTGCTGGTTTTACATTGAAGTATTGAAAGTATGGCCCCTGAGTATAACCACCCTCTCAATATATTTTTTTAAATGTTTATTTTTTTTGAGAGAGAGGGGGTCAGAGTGCAAGCAGGTGAGGGTCAGAGAGGAGACACAGAATCTGAAGTAGGTTCCAGACTTTGAGCTGTCAGCACAGAGCCCAATGCAGGGCTCGAACCCACGAATGCAAGATCATGACCTGAGATGAAGTCGGATGCTTAACCGACTGAGCCACCCAGGCGCCCCGCCACCTCCTCAATATTCAATGAAATGTACTTCGTCTGTTCTCTTCCTCTATTGGCATCTGAGCCTGCTTTCTCCTTTAATGCCCTGTCAAGCGGTCCCAGCAGTTCATTTTTAGGGAGTGGCTCTGTCCTTCCAGAGAGATTTTCACCAGGTATTTTTTGAGAGCCCTGATGGCCCAGGTCTCTTCAGCAGCCTCACACCTCCTCCAGTGTCCTCACCATCATCCCCCACAAATCAGACCCTGTAAAGCACCTCCTAGCCGTAACCGTTGTCATCCGATGTGCCTACAAAGTTCTTTACTCCAAGCGGGGACCCTTCCTTTTGAGTGCCAGTACTTGTGGGGAAGTTCCCTGGCAATCAAAATGACCCGCAGGCCTCCTCTCCTCGCCTCTGCTTCCTCCTGCGCACCTGCTGTTTGTGTCCCTAAGTCCCCTGCTGCTGGTGGTTTGACCGTGGCAGAGAATATTCGGGGACTCATGGGCACTCTGCCAGCTAGCTACATCTCTGGTTTTTCTTTTGCTTTCCTGCTTTCTCTATTTCTTTTTTTTTTTTAATGTTTATTTCTTTTTGAGAGGGACAGAGTGCAAGCGGGAGAAGGGCAGAGAGAGAGGGAGACACAGAATCGGAAGCAGGCTCCAGGCTCTGAGCTAGCTGTCAGCACAGAGCCCGACGCGGGGCTCGAACTCAAAAACTGTGAAATCCTGACCTGAGCTGAAGCCGGATGCTCAGTCGACCGAACCGCCCAGGCGCCCCTATGCTAAACATCAGACAGGGTCATTTAGTCCTCGTAAAACCCTAGGTGGGCAGCACTGTCATTCCCCCTAATTCAGAGATGAGGTTAGTCTCACTGAATGGTGCACAGGGCTTGCAGCCCAGGGGACCCGGGCCGCGGACTTCATCAATCAGGGTCCTGGCAGGAAACAGACCACACCCTCCACGTGAGCGCCTTGCGAAGTGTTTAATAAAGAGAGAGGACAGTCCAGGCGGCTGAAAACAGGGAGCTTTTATAGCCTCCCTCGGCCCAGAGGGTCCAGAGGAGGCGGGACTCTGCCAAACCAGGAGCTGTGTAGAGGGTCGCGTGACAGGGTCCGTGTCCTTTGATGGAGGGACCCAGCCAGCCTGCAGGAAGCCTGCGTCTCCACCCTCCACCGGTCTCCCACTGGCGCTCCCCTGGGGACAAATCCCAGGGGAGACCAGAAGGCACTGGGACTTTGAAATCTTCCATACAATTCAGCCTCTTGGTACCAAAAGGCGGGCGGAGGAGGGAGGCAGCAAGGAAATCTGCAGGGGGCAACAAGGAGCCATCCCACAGCGCCACCAACTGGCTGTGAGAGCTCAGCACACAGCAAGGTCCAAAGATTTAGGGAAGTGAGGGGTTTGGTGTTCAAGAGCCCTTGTGACTTTGTTTTTTAGAAATATTTTTTTCTGTTTTTAAAGTTTATTTATTTGTTTTGAGAGAGAGGGAGCACACATGAGGAAGGGGCAGAGAGAAAGAGGGAGAGAGAGAATCCCAAGCAGGATGCATACCACCACCACAGAGCCTGACGTGGGGCTCGAGCTCACGAACCGCGAGATCGTGACCTGAGCGAAGTCGGACGCTTAACCGACTGAGCCACCCAGGCGTGCCTCCCTTTTGGCTTTAAACACTATTTTCCTAAAATATTACAGTTACGGGAAGTAAAAAAAATAAAAATAAAAAACATACAGTTAACTCACTTCCCCATGACTCCAAAGGCTAGCTTGCATGATTAATACTAATAACAAGGAACACTTACACAGCCCTGGTCTGAATTTGGCTGCTCTGGGTTTCAGTCACGCGTTCTCCCTGCCCATCACTTTATAAAACAGGGCAGGGACCCTGCGGTGTCCCCTCTGAGCAAACCTGTGCACAGCCAAGAGGAGCAGTGTGGGCGCGGACAGCCAGAAGATGATGGAGCCAGGGTGACAGACTGCGTGAGTGGTTTCTCCAGTGTGACTCTTCAAACCAGAGACAGCAGGGTCATAGCAGCTCTTTCTAACGGGGCACGGACTGAGGAATTACAATTAACTGACTGAAGACCTCTGGTATGGGCATCTAACAAGGAGTGGGGAGGGGTGCCCGGGTGGCTCAGTCAGTAGAGCACGCCACCTCTTGATCTCAGGGTCATGAGTTCAAACCTCGTGCTGGGTGTAGAGATCACTAAAATAATAAATAAATAAACTTAAAAAAAAACTGGGATAGCGAAACCAAAAGGAGAGATCATTATTTTTTTAAATGGGGAAAACAAAGAAATTTCTGCCTGAGCCAGATGTGGCTAGAGGCCGACAGGATTAGCAGATGTTACGGTCAGCAGCTGACACATATTAGTTCATTTACTATTCACAACAGCCCTGGGAAATAGGTATCATCACTCCTACTTCGTGAATGAGGAAACGGACACGGAGCGGAGAAAGTGCCGAGGCCACCCCGGTCAGTGACTGTCAGGGCCAGAACTCAAACTTCCCCCAGTAACTCCACACCCCACACTCTTTTCCAAACACCAGGCTGCTTTGACCAGCCAAGTCTTCACTACCAATTGACTTAGGGCTTGTAATAACTTATGGGGGTAACAGGGGTCGATGGTTTGTGGAACAGTGACGTTTTTCAGAACCGTACAGCTGTCTAGGGCTGTGTTATCCAATATGGCAGCCGCTAGGCACAGGCAGCTACGTAAGTTGCTTAACATGAAATAAAACTTTAAAATCAGTTCCTTGGTTGCACTGCCCCATATTTTAAGTGTTCAATGGCCACATGGGGCCACTGGCTACTGTGCTGGACTCGACATAGAACACAGAACGTTTCTACCGCCGCACTGACCTGGTGGACCCCCACAAGAGGGGTGCGGTTGTGTGGCGGGGAGAATCTCAGTATCTTTAAAATCATTGCTGTCCAGAATGTTAGAGGACCCTTCCACTGCCACTATTAGGACAGCACCATCTCATTCTCCGTAAATTCTTTGCCTACGATGTACTCTCAGTAGTTGCCATCATAAGAAGGAATAGCTATGACTACTTTATGCAAACTGATTTAATTACAGGTTCCAACTTGGAGAGGAGAGGTTGTTTGTTGGTTTTTGAGCTGCAGAGGAAGGGGGGCATATACATATTTCCACGTTTAAGAACTGGTTCAACTAACACTTGAAAAATACGAGGTAAGAGATTTATTAATAGGAACCGGGTCGCAGTATGCAGTCAGGCAGGAACACGGAGCAAAGGAGCTTACAAATAACATTACATTCACTCCAGGTAGCAGAGTGCATTTCCGTTAAGTAAAGGTCTTATTTATTTTTTATTTATTTTTACTTTTATTTTATTTTTATTTATTTTATTTTATTTTTACTTTTATTTTTATTGACAGAGTGTGTGTGTGAGAGTGGGGGAGAGAGGCAGAGAGAGAAAGAGAAAGAGAGAGAGAATCCCAAGCAGGCTCCGTGCTCAGCACAGAGCCCGACACAGGGCTCAATCCCATGAACCTGGGATCATGGCCTGAGCTGAAATCAAGAGTCAGACCCTCAACCGACTGAGCCATCCAGGCGCCCCAAGAAAAGGTCTTATTTAAACGAAATGATATATTTCCAGGGGGCCTTGGTGGCTCAGTCGGTTGAGGGTCCGACCCTGGCTCAGGTCATGGTCTCACGGTTTGTGAGTTTGAGCCCCACATCGGGCTCTGCGGTGACAGCTTGGAGCCTGGAGCTTGCTTCTGATTCTGTGTGCCCTTCTCTGTCTTTCTGCCCCTCTCCTGCTTGTGCGTTCTCTCTCTCTCTCTCTCTCTCTCTCTGTCTCTCAAAAGTAAATAAATAAACATTAAAAAAAAGAAATGATGTATTTCCTAAATGAGGGCAAAAGCACAACACTGAGAAAGAAGACAGTCTAAGTGTGGAAATTATGATCAAATTAAACATTCTAAAATGAAAGACAGGGGCGCCTGAGAGCCTTAGTCAGTTAAGCGTCCGACTTCAGCTCTGGTCACGATCTTGTTGTTTGTGGGTTGGAGCCCCATGTCGGGCTCTGTGCTGACAGCTCGGAGCCTGGAGCCTGCTTTACATTCTGTGTCTCCCTCTCTCTCTGACCCTCCCCTGCTCATGCTCGTCTCTCTCTTTCTCTCTCTCTCTCAAAAATAAACATTAAAATTTTTAAAAAATAAATAAAATGAAAGACAAAAGGGAAATAAATATAGGTGGAAGCAACCCAGGTGGACGGATGGGTGCACAAAACGTGGTATAGGTGCACGATGGAACATTATTCAGCTTTGAGAAGCAAGTTCGGACCGTGCCACAATGCAGATGACCCTCTGCTGCGTGAAACGAGCCAGGTACCAGAAGACAAGCACTGCATGATTCCACTTCTGTCAAGTATCTACGGTAGTCCAAGTCCCAGGGACAGAAAGCAGATGGTGGTTACCAGGGACTGGAGGAAGGTAGACACGGGGGAGTCGCTGTCTCATGTGTACAGGGTCCCAGCGGTGCACAACGGAAAAGTTCTGGAGCTTGTTTGCACAGCGATGTGAATCTACTTACCACCGCTGAAGTGTACACACTTAAAAATGGTTAAGATGGTGAAATCTCTTACACAGATTTTATCACAAGAGAAAAATTAAAAAAAATAAATAAAAGGCGGGGGCGCCTGGGTGGGTCAGTCGGTTAGGCGTCCGACTCTTGATCGTGGCTCGGGTTGTCGTCTCGTGGTTTGTGAGTTTGAGCCACGCGCCCGGCTCCGTGCTGACAGCAGGGAGCCTCCTTGGGATTCTCTCTGTCCCTCTCTCTCTCTGCCCCTTCCCCCACTCCTACATCCCCACCCTCAAAATAAATATATTGACTAATTAAAAATTTTAAAAAGGCAGGGGGGAGGGAGGAATGCACGCCCTTCTTAGAAAAGCCATCTAACTCTCTCAGACCAGTTCTAGTCTCTTCCTCCGCCATCGCATGCTAATTCTACAGTCTGTGTGCCACAGCCAGAGTTAACAACTGCTCTGTATGTTTTCAGAATTAACTAAGGGAGTGTCATGGTGGTGAAGTCAACATATGCAAAATACCTGGGTCAGTGGCAGAGATGATGGCTCCGAAGAAGAGACAGTCTGTGTAGTAAAACTTATCCGAGAGCTGCCCCACAATCTTCATGAGCTTCACCACACCGTACATGAGATTCCTGGAATGAGGGGAAGGTGAACTGTGTCAGAAGAGGAAACGGGAGGCCTCCCGAGTCCCCTAGCCGGTACATGAGCCGGACAGCACCGGGACACGGCACGTCGAGAGCGATCTGTGACAACGACGGGCAGCCATTGTACTTGGGCACTTAGCAGGAATGTGTGCAAATAAGACTTTGCCATCGATGAATGGTTCCCAGCTGACATCGCCGCGCTGACACGCATCTGAATGCTACTTACCCCGTTTCTTAAAGTTGTGCTTAGTTACAGCTATAAAGCGCGGTCCTCAATTAGCAACAACTTTAAGGCCCCTTAAGCAGCCGGGTGATGGAGAAGGAAGGAAGAGGAAGAAGGCTGCATCGCGTATAACAGATTGCCACAAACCCACAGGATCCGACGAGAGTGTGTGCAGCGCCATGGAAACGAATGCACTGGGCAAAGCTAGAGAGTGAAGAAACCGGCTAGGCCGCAATGGTCCAAGCGATCAACTTTCTCGGCTAAGGCTGGTTTCCAAAGGGAAAAGAAGCCAAACTCTCTAAATGTCGTGCTAAAATACCAGCGCACCCGTCGACACATGCACCCTCTCCTTCTCGGCATGGGCTGGCCCTTGTCCTGTGCAGAGTGCGACATGGTCCAAGGTAGGCTACCGAGTTAAACATTTCGACGTGGCGACAGCGCGTTTCCTATAGGAGCGCTTACAAAACGGGAGGAGTAGTTAAAAGGCGTAGTACGTGTCACTAAGGGTGTGCGTGTGCATGTGTGCGTGTGTGTGTGCGGTGACGGCAGCTGCAGGGGTCAGGGGAATAAAAATAACCACAGAACAGACTCATTGTTCCCTACAGCAAAAGCTCTCGTAACAATACCCGCACTGCCAAGGACCGTGTCGTGCCTCACTTTTGCACCCTGGGCGCCCGGAACAGTGGACTGAGTGAGCTGGAGCTCAACAACGATTTGTAGCATTGAGCCCATTTGAGAACACACAGCTGTGACTTGCTGCTTCCCTACTATGTGCCTGGCACCGCGCCCTGCACCCGAACGGTTCACTTTTCATTCCCGTAACTCTGTGACGCACATTTGATTTGCCTTTCGTTGCTCATCACTTACCTTTCAGGCATTTCCCGAAAAAGACACGTGCCTCTCCATGTCCTTCTCCCGCAAGCTCAGACTCGGGCGCTAGGCTTCTCTCTGGTGGCCTTTTCCCCTCTTGCCACCAATGCCAGCCATCTAAGCTGTCACCCTTCCATGGCTTGTCTCTCTCAAAAAGGACAAAGTCCACACCCCTTCTATTCTGGCGACACAAAAGGCCCTTGCCTTAGATCTCCAGTGTTCCGGCTAAGATTTAAAAAATTAACTAAGGTCCACACTTGATTCAGATTTCCTTGGCTTTCTCCTGGCAACCCTTTCGTGTCCCAGGATCCCGTGCAGGCTACCACACGCCACGCAGCCCTCACGTCTCTTTAGCCTCCTCCTGGCTGTGACAAGCGTTCAGACTTCGTGTGGTTTCTGATGACCTTGGCAGTTTTGAGGAGCACTGTCAGGTGCTCTGCAGGATGGCCCTCGGCTGGGACTTGGACTTGTTTCTCATGTGTTTTGGTAGGGGGGGGAGGAAGGTAAAGTGCCACTGTCATCACAAACATCAAGGGGGCAGAGTATTGGTGCAATTTACCCCTACTGTTGACGATCTGGATCATCCGGCCAAGGGGGTGGTTGTCAGGCTTCCCTGCTGGAAAGCTCTGCTTTCTTCTTCCTTCCCCACCCCCTTCCCCATACTCTGTGGAAGGAAGTCACTGTGCACAGCCTACAATCAGAGCAGGAGGGAAGATAAGTTCCTTCTCCTGCGGGGTGGGGGCGGAGGTCGACATACATTACCTGGAACTCTTCTGCACGGGAGATCTGTCACCTCTCCCCCGTCTATTTTTCCGCCCAGTCATTTACTAACATCAGTAGGGACTCAGAGGTTGACTTCATAGTTTGGGTGCAGCAGGATGTTACTGTGTTGTTCTGTGGCTGTTGGCCTTAGGGGAACTGTCAGCTTGGCTCCGTGTCTCTGTGACATGCTCTAGATCCTTCCATGTGTGTGTTTTCTGGGCACTTCCTTGGTATTCTGGCACCATGGTATGCCCCGCTCTTATCTTGTGTATTTGTTGCCCCGGCCCTACAATCTGCCTTTTCTACAAGGCTCCCTGCTTCTTTTGATTGGAGGATGTTATCAGGAACCAAGATCTGGGGACTAGGTGTGATTTTATTGCATTTTAATTCATCCTGATCTTAACTTAAATAGTTACATGTGACTGATAGCTACCACACTGCACAGTGTAGCTCTAGATCTTAACTGCCATCATCATAAACATCAAAATCCTGGGCTCTGCTGGTTGTCAGGGGCCGGCGGAGGGGGGGCGGGCAGCGGAAATGGGGAGACGTTGCTCAAAGGGAACAAACTTCCGGTTGGACGATTAATGGGTTTGGGGATCTCAGGTACGACATGGCGATTATAACTAATGACACTGGATCGTGTACTTGAATTCTGCTAAGGGAGTAGGTCTCACATGTTCTCATCACCAGAAAGAAATGCAATGATGACACAGGATGAAGGTGGCAGCGACTGCTGTGGTGGTAATGACTGTGCAATCTCTAACTGTATCAAACCCACACGCTGTCCACCTGAAGCTCCCAGGACATTATGTGTCAATTACATCTCAGTACGGCTGGGGAAAACCCATGTCTCTGTGGACCTGTGTGGCCCTCATCTCTTCAGAAAGCGAGTTCATTTGGTTAACGACAGAGAGTTAACTTACCCAATGATGAAGCAGGAAACGGCAGTCCCCAAGAAAGCGTACGCCAGAATAGAGCCGAGATTTCTGAAGAAGTGTCTCTGAGGGGAACAGAAGGCAGCAATCACACGGTGATTTCTCATACCGAGTGTAAGAAACACAATAAAAGTCTCCTGAAAGGGAGACTTGACTTTCGGCCTCCATGATCACGAGTTAGAAGTGAAATTACTCCTGAATAGAGCTATTTAGCTATAAGCGTTGTGGTTTTAAAATATCCCTTGTCCCACTCCTCACTGAGGAAGCGAGCAAGGGCTTGGTACGTTGCAGACAAAGCCCTCTGATTATATTAAAGTACAATGAGAGAGGATGAGCACTGGGTGTTACATGGAAACCAAGTTGACAATAAACTATCTGTAAATAAATAAATAAATAGAAGTTAAAAAAAAAAGTACAATGAGAGAAAGTGTATGTGAGTGAGTGTGTGTGTGTGTGTGTAAGCAGACCAATCATTTTCCTCGACTTAACCCAAACTCTTTACTCTTTTCCTGTACTGACTCAGCAGGTCACTTCCGGCGGTGCTGTACCTTAGGCCACTACAGACACAAGTTTGAAACTGACGAAGTATGAAAGTGCCATCTAAGGGCTTCTTGCTTAACTCAGTATCAGAAAACAGTGTCCTCAGAATCTGCCTCATGGCATCAGAAGTGTCCCCTGAGAGTCTTCCGGATTTATCTTTGGGGCCTGGGAGGGAGGGCCAATAAAGATAGAAGTGGACACCTGACAAGCAGGTAGTTCTGCTTCAGCTGGGCCCGTTGCTAAGTTTATATACGTGCGGCTAAGCTTACAGGCTTACACCCGTGTGAGATCCAGCAATTATTCACAAAGCGACAGCAAAATTGCAATGCTCTCAATGCTTCTGCACATTCACTGGTTATTCGCGGATGCGCGCACGCACGCACACACGCACGCGCACACACACGCACACAGAAGGCTTTACTTCTAAGTCATTAGGCCCGTGGGATATTCTGATGGGGAAAATCCCTGCTCCTGGGATTCTTCAGACCCTGAGCCACGGTTCTTACCCCTCAAGGCGTACGCTGCACCCATCGGACAATCACGACTATTTAACAAAACCAGACCGACACCACCCCCCTAAACAGCCGAATTCAGTAGGGGCCAGGAACACTTCAGCTAAGAGTTGTAAAAGGCAGGAGTCCCAGGGGGCCGGCCGAGGCCAGCAGGGAGAGATGGGGCTTGGGAAGAAGTCCGTGTGGATCAAAGCAGCCACCGGGGAGTGGCCTTGGCTTTGGCCTTCCCCAGCGCTCGGCTGGGGAGCTGTGAAGAGGGTGGCAAGGAAGGCCGAGGGCCGCTACGCCACCCACTCAGAAGACAACCCTCCAAGGGCGTGACACCCCAGTAGTCACCAAAAGGGGGTGCTGCGTGCATACATTATACACACATGACGCTCGCCTTTTAAAGCAGCCACTGTCTCCAGTGCTCTTTTTTTTTTAAGTGGGTGTATTTATACACCAGTGTTTTGGGAAAAAAATTAGGTTTCAAAATAAAATCAACAACGGGGAGCCCCCTTGTGTATAAAAGCCCAATCAAGGGCTTCAATCAGGGAGGGCTAGGAGTCCATCAAGATAGAGACAGGAGACCAGTGAAACTCATGTGATGTATCCAGGGACAGGTATTCTTTTTAATTTTGGGGAAGTTTATTTATTTTTGAGACAGAGAGACAGAGCGTGAGCGGGGGAGGGGCAGAGAGAGAAGGAGACACAGAATCGGAAGCAGGAGGCTCCAGGCTCTGAGGTGTAGGCACAGAGCCCGACGCGGGGCTCAAACTCACTGAACTGTGAGATCATGATCTGAACCAAAGTCGGATGCTTCACTGACTGAGCCACCAGGTGCCCCACCAGGGACAGATTTTAATCCCAGAATTGCCCTTCCTTGCCACCCAGCTTTTGGGTAACCATCCATAAGGTTAGTTTGAATGTGTTAAGTACATTCAGATTCATGACATTTGCCCAAACAAAACATCATTAGGAATATAAAATCTGCCACCCCAAACGCATCCATGACATATTCTAAAATCAAACAAACACACACACACACATACACACACACACACATTATTACCCATCTCCGTCCATATTTGCTGATATGAACTGGCATACCTTGAAAAGAAAGGTACATCAGGCTACTTATTTGCATACCATTACACCTAGTACTTAAGTATCTGCCTCACAGCTTCCAAAGCTACCCTTCTCGATTCCCACCACATCCTCTTAGGGAAGAAAGGACAGCACCTCCCAGCCCTGGTCTGGATTCTAGAGGAATCCTATGTCTTTCACCCTCATCTCATTTGGCCAGGCATGTGTGGTTCCCCACGGCGAGGACTGAATCAAAGCTAATTCCAAGGATGATTTTTTTCGGGTTAGGAAAAAAAAAAAAAAGGCCCATGTCCGCCTGACAACTGTATGTGTAGAAGTCAAAGGGTCTGAATGTCTGTTTCCATACCTGCCACTAAGTGGTGAAATCGTGATTACACATTTAATGGATAACAGGTTTAATCACGGATGGCAAAACCATGTAAGGTCCAGCTATTTCAGTGCCTTTACAAGGACTATTTAAAAAGGAAAGTGACTGAGCGAACAGTGGATAGCCTGAAAGACTGCCATTTTCAAAACAACTTAGGCTCAGTCGATTGGCTGTTGCTTTCGGCTCAGGTCATGATCTCATAGTTTGTGAGTTCAAGCCCCGCGTAGGGCTCTGTGCCGATAGCTCAAAGCCTGGAGCCTGCTTTGGATTCTGTGTCTCCCTCTCTCTCTGCCCCTTCCCCGCTCACACTCTGTCTCTCTCTCTCTGAAAAATAAGCATTAAAAATTAAAAAATAAGTAAAAATTTTAAAAATAACAATTTAAACTGCTAACTGGCAAAGCCAATTCTCCTTCTGAGAGAATAAGGCTGATACAGGGAAGGCTCTGCAGAACCCAAAGTGTTTTTCAGACATTAGAGCAGCTCTCACAACCAGTGATTTGGTTTCATTTTATTTTATTTTTTTGAGAGAGACAGAGAGTGCAAACAGGGGAGGGACAGAGAGAGGAAGAAAGAGAATCTTTTTAAATCTTTTTTTAATGCTTATTTATTTGTGAAGGAGAGAGAGACCAAGCGCGAATGGGGAATGAACAGAGAGAAGGGGAGACACAGAATCAGAAGCAGGCTCTAGGTTCTGAGCTGTCGGCACAGAGCCCAACCGCGGGGACTCACGAGCCGTGAGATCATGACCTGAGCCGAAGTTGGTGCTTAACTGACTGAGCCCCCCAGGCGCCCCTAGGAAGAGAGAGAATCTTAAACAGGCTCCACGCTCAGCACAGAGCCTGCCATGGAGCTCGGACTCAGCAACGGTGAGATCATGACCTGAGCCGAAATCATGGCTTAACTGACTGGGCCACCCAGGTGCCTCTGGTTTCATTTTAAAGCAATTATGACCTTGATGATACCTTATGATTAGGTATTTAAGATACCAAATTGCCAATCACCCATTGGATCTGACAAGGAGTTCCAAAATTCGTCACTTAAAGAATAACATTATTTATGTCCATAAAATCATCTCATGATACATATCAATAGCTGACATATAGATTTAGATGCTTTGGTATCCCCGTAGGGTGGTCCAAAAAAAATACATTTTTTTAGCACAGAAAACCTAAATCTAGAGGGAAAGTAGGATAGATAAGGATAGATTTTTTTTAATATTTTATTATGGAGTAATTACAGATTCACAGAAATTGCAAAGATAGGGTAGAGGGGTCTCATGTACTTTCCCCGAGTTTCCTCCATGGGCTATACCTTACATAACTGTAGTACAATATCAAAACCAGGAAACTGGGAGCACCTAGGTGGCTCCGTCAGTTAAGCGTTCGACTTTAGGTCAGGTCCTGATCTCATGGTTCGTGAGTTCGAGCCCCACATCGGGCTGTGTGCTGACAGCTCAGAGCCTGGAGCCTGCTTTAGATTTTTCTGTCTCCCTTGCTCTCTGCCCCTTTCTCAGGCTCTGTTTCTCTCTCTTTCAAAAATAAACGTTTAAAAAGCAGTTTTGTGAGGGGCGCCTGGGTGGCTCAGTTGGTTAAGAGCCCGACTTCGACTCAGGTCATGATCTCACGGTTCGTGGGTTTGAGTCCCACATCGGGCTGTGTGCAGACAGCTCAGAGCTTGGAGCCTGCTTCGGATTCTGTATCTCCCTCTCTCTCTGACCCTCCCCTGCTCATGCTGCCTCTCTCATTCTCTCATTCTCTCTCTCCCTCTCTCTCAGAAATAAATTAAAAAGAAAAGCAGTCTTGTGTCATTTTATCACGTGCAGATTCGCGTATCCATCGCCGCATCAGGACACAGAACTTTTCCATCACCACGAAGATCTCTTTCACACCTCACCTCTGCCATCCTTAGCCCAAGGCAGCCATTCATTTGTTACCCACCCCTATATTTTTGTCATTTTTTTTTGTCATTTCTAGAATGTCATATATACGAAATCACATGGTACAAGATCTTTTGAAGTTGGATTTCTTTTCCACTCAGCGTACTGCCTTTGAGAGCCATCCAAATTATTGTGTGTATCAATAGTCTGCTCTATTTTATCGCCGAACAGTATTCCACGGTATGAGTGTTTGGTTAACCGTTCACCTATTGCAAGATATTCTGGTGGTTTCCAGTTCGGGGCTGTTTCAAATAAAATCGCTATGGACAATGGTGCAGAGGCTTTTGTGCGAACGTAAGGTTTCATCTCTCCGGGATAAACCCTCAGGAATAAAATGGCTGGGTCACACGGCGATTGCAACTTTGGTTTTACAAGAAACTGTGAAACCGTTTTCCCGAGTGGCCACGCCGTTTTATATTTCTACCGGCAATGTAGGAGCACTCCGGATTTTAAAACAGAAAGCAATCACTGATGACGAGACAAATATAGTCTCTGAGTGGGTGCAGAACACAGTGATAAGCAATCTGGGAGAATGGAAAAACTAGAAAATTATGCAGGTACGTTAACGCAGAGGCTCCCGTGCTTTAAGAAATAGTGGCAAAAATCTCTTACCTTCTTTAAACTGTAGCCGGCATGGAAGATAATTGGAGGCAGAAGAATGTTGAAAAAGACTTCTGGATCAAACGTTACCTGAGAGTTTAAGAAGAAAAAAGTCAGTTTCCAGTTTAGTACCAATTGGTGCTGTAATTTGCTTAATATTTTAAGCCACTGACTAAAGTTTGAATGGTTAAAGCAAGTAAGATAGACAGCTGACAGCTCAGAGCCTGGAGCCTATTTCAGATTCTGTGTCTCCCTCTCTCTCTGTCCCTCCGCCAATTGCACTGTCTCTCTCTCTCTCTCTCTCTCTCTCTCAGAAGTAAATATTTAGGGGCACATGGGTGGCTCAGTCGGTTAAGTGTTCAACTTCAGCTCAGGTCATGATCTCACAGTTTGTGAGTTTAAGCCCCGCATCAGGCTCTGTGCTGACAGCTCAGAGCCTGGAGCCTGTCTTCGGATTCTGTGTCTCCCTTTCTCTCTGCTCCTCCCCCACTCACTGTCTCTCTCTCTCTGTCTCTCAAAAGTGAATAAATGTTTAAAAAAATTTTTTTTAATTTTTAAGAAATTAAAAAAAACAACAGTTCAGTACAATCTGAGAATTCCCAGAAAGCTTCTGGCCAATGGTTTTGGGGTTTTTTTTTGGCCAGTGTTTTTAAACGAGAAATAAAAACAGCTTGACTTTTACCAAACCTTTATAAAGGTTCAATTGCAATGAAAGACGCTGTCATGATTCTTTGTTAATTTTCTGGCTCCTCCCACAGAATCATTTCTAGACAGAATTCTACTGAATTTAAGTCTCTTTTGAGGACCAGCCTTTTGTGAGACTTGGTGTGGCCTGAATCAAAGTCTGCAATGACGCTGGAGGCTTTCTGAACATCAACTTAAAAATTCAGCAGCTTTAGGGCGGCCAACATTACCTTGTAGGCTTGCCGCAGGGAAATCACTCTGAAACTATCAAAGAACAAAATCTTATCGCATCTAGAGAAGAATTAAGCAGTCTATAAGCCTCCCAAACCTTTTACAGAATTTGTTCATGTCGGTAGATGGACTGGGCTCTCGCTGAAATTAATCTTAAAGCTTCACTCTAGGGGCGCCTGGGTAGCTCAGTCGGTGAAGCGTCCGACTTCGGCTCAGGTCATGATCTCACGGTTTGTGGGTTCGAGCCCCGCATCGGGCTCGGTGCTGACAGCTCAGAGCCTGGAGCCTGCTTTAGATGCTCTGTCTCTCTCTCTTTCTGCCCATGTCTCTCAAAAATAAATAACTGTTATAAATGCAATTTTAAAAAAAGCTTCACTCTAATTATTCAAAGTCGAGTTAGCATTTCTCTTTAGAAACTGGAAATGTTAAGCAGCCCAATTAAAAGTGAAATGGTTCTCACACATTATGTTTTATTCGATCTCTTGCTGACGACGGGAATAGTGTGAAAGGCGGGGAGCGTCAGAACGAGAAGGGGCCCTGGCTAATAGCCAGCAGGAGGGCGCTGGGGCCACCAGCATGCAGGGACGAACACAAGAGTGTCCTGTCCCCTACACTCCAATGCCCTGCCTCCAGCTTCCCTGACACGCCCCTTCTCCCCTCAACTACCAGCAGTGGGCTCAGCCTTGTCTGCGGCAAAAGTTTAAACAGAGGGGGTGAGGTGAATCCGCTTTATCCTAAAGGTAACAGAGAGCCAGCGTCACCTTCTGTGGTGATCTAAAAGATGGAAACGGGGTGGGTTCAGCCATGAGCGTGGTATTTACACCGAGTATCTTTTTCGGTTGCGTTCAATTTCACAAACGTTACTGGAAATCCCAGGCATGCTTATGAGGGACTGAGAGCGAATAGCTCACTAGGACTGTCTTTACGGACACAGAGGAGATGGGCATGGATTTTTTTTAATGTTTTTATTTATTTCTGAGAGAGACAGAGTGAGCAGGGGAGGGTCAGAGAGAGAGGGAGACACAGAATCCGAAACAGGCTCCAGGCTCTGAGCTGTCAGCACAGAGCCCGACACAGGGCTTGAACCCATGAACCGTGAGATCATGCCCTGAACTGAAGTCGGACACTTCACCAACTGAGCCACCCAGGCGCCCCAAGACGGGCATGTTTAATGCTCCACGGTGACAATGATTTTCCTTAAGGATTAAGGTGGATCCTAAAAGCAATAATAATTTAATTTTTGGAGCACAGGCTATACTCCGCCTTTGACTGGAAGCCTTTCCACATATGTGCCTCGTTCTGTATTAAAAGAGGCTCCGCGCCAGCTGGACCACCCAGAGCTTAGACAGAAGCCTTCCTGCTGCTGCTAAGCCCGGGTCTACAGAGTCATAGAGCAGAGATCTCTTGCTTCTCTTGGAAATCACCTGAGCAAGGAGATGTATAATCCTTTTGCCGTGTATTTTAGCTACCCCCAACATCAAATGAAAAACAGCTTGGACTCAACTTCCAAGACAACAAGATATTCTTCCTCCAAAGATTCATGACGCTTTGGCACCACTCACCAATGAGAGTGGGCACTCGGTAAGTATTTGTAGAACATGGCGAAAGGCCCAGGAAGAAGGAAGACTTACCATCGGAAACACTGAAAAAATGAGTTTCAAGTGAAACTGATCCACAGGGCGCCCGGGTGGCTCAGTCGGTTAGGTGTCCGACTTTTGCTCAGGTCACGATCTCTTGGTTTCATGAGTTCCAGCCCCCACTGGGCTCTGTGCTAGCAGTGCAAAGCCGGCTTGGGATTCTCTGTCTCCCTCGCTTTCTGCCCCCCTCCTGCTGTCTCTGCCTCTCTCAAAATAAATAATAAATAAACTTAGGGGCACCTGAGTGGTCTAGTTGGTTGAGCCTCTGACTTTGGCTCAGGTCACGATCTCACAGTTTGCGAGTTCGAGCTCCGCGTCAGGTACAGCTCGGGAGCCTGGAGCCTGCTTTGGATTTTCTGTCTCCCTCTCTCTCTGCCCCTTTGCTGCTCATGTTCTGTCTCTTTCTCTCTCCAAAATAAAATAATGATAAAAAGAAAAAAGCTTCCTAGCCAAACTGAGAGCCCAGAATGTTACAAATGCTCCAGGAGTTTGAAAGGATTTGTCTCCCTAAGGTCGAGACGGAGGCAGAAAGTCAAGAACCATGACAGCACAGTGTCGCCAGCTCACCTTCCTCAGCATGTCATTCTGCTCCACGCTGTTGATCTTGCCGGGGCTGATTTCTCCTTTCAGGGTGTATTCGAAGAACTTCCCGCTGACGTTCACTAATAAGGTGCTGAAGGCCCTGTGTTCCTGAGTACAGCTGAGTGACTTGTCACGGCCGCTGGTGGCAGGGGTGCCATACCTCAGGATCACCCCAACGATGAGCCCTGAAACAGAGTGTTGGGGGAGGGAACCACATCAGGCCCGCGGAAGGACAGAGAGAGCGTGGAAATAGCGACACGGTCAATTTGCGACACCGAAGACACCCAGAAGCCATCTCGGAGCCCAAGGACAAGCTGTGTATTTAAGAGCAGTGGCATAGTCCTTCTGAAGGGTTAACATCCTCTCGTACGGGTCCCTCGGCCGCCAGAAGGACAAGGTACGACGGTACCTTTCGTGGTTATCATGGCACTGGGTAATTTTCACAAGTGATCATGTCTCATTTCCCAGGCTGTGGGTGGAGGAAGATGGAATGATAGGAAGCACAGTGTTTTTCTGCCAAGGACAGCACAAAGCACAGCCTCTGAGTTTTGATCAGCTCCAGCAGCAGCCTTCAGGCCAGTCCTGCTGCCATCTGCCAGCACGGACCGGGCCGCAGGAATTTCTAGCTCCTACGAATGCAACCTTGCTTTGCCCCACACGAGAGGAAGGAGGAAGGAAGGAAGGAAGGAAGGAAAGAAGGAAGGAAGGAAGGAGGAAAGGAAGGAAGGAAGGAAGGAAGGAAGGAAGGAAGGAAGGAAGGAAGGAAGGAAGGAAGGAAAGAAATGCTTCTGTGTAGGTCGTTTCAAGTTCCAGGTACTGTGGCGGAAGTGATTATGTCACTCAGGGGGCTGCACACCACAGTGCAAATTTTTGCCATTATGAATCAAAGAGTGAAGAGCTGGCCTCTTGGAACTGTGGCTACAATACAGCTAATTACCTGCAATTCTGAATTTTTTTTAATGTTTATTTTTGAGAGAGAGAGAGAGAGAGTGCGAGCAGGGGAGGGGCAGAGAGAGAGGGAGACACAGAATCCGAAGCAGGCTCCAGGCTCTGAGCTGGAAGCACAGGGCCCGATGCGGGGCTCGAACTCGCAAACCGCGAGATAGTGACCTGAGCTGAAGTCGGACGCTCAACCGACTGAGCCACCCAGGCGCCCCAGCTGCAAGTCTTTAAGTCTCATACCATTCTTAGGAGGGGGTTCCCATTAGGGAAAAAAATAAAAACAAAACCAAAACCCAGCAAAATCGTATATAAGCATCTAATTCCATGGTGAGGGACTCTTGTCCCCCTGGTCCTGGACAGGAGTCACATACGCCACAGTAAAAGTGAGTGACATGTGAAGAAAACATAAATCACCACCAGACACTTTCTATGATTCTCTTTTGGGAGGAAAACATCAGGACTCTCTCCGTATCTAGTCCTTTGCTAGCAGTATTAAAAGCAGTATTAAAAGTAGTATTAAAAGGGGGTGGCTGGGTGTCTCAGTCAGTTAAGTGTCCAGCTTCAGCTCAGGTCATGATCTTGTGTTTCCTGGGTTCAAGCCCCATGTCGGGCTCTGTGCTGACAGCTCAGAGCCTGGAGCCTGCTTCAGATTCTGTGTCTCCCTCTCTCTCTGACCCTCCCCTGCTCATGCTGTCTCTCCTTATATATATATAAAATATATATATATATAAAGTAGTATTAAGATCCTCCGCCATCTCATCTTGCCATTAATGGAGAAAGTTCCATGAGCAAAAGGAAGAACAACGTTTACTGTGTTCTGTGCCTAATGCTCTATAACGTCTCTTAACATCAAGACATAGGAAAACTCAGAAGACGTTGAAGAACAAATGACATATGAAATCTCGACAAATACAGTTCCTTAAGCCAAACTCCATCTGTACCGCATTATTATTATTATTATTAGAGATTTCTATTAATAGATACTTGCAGCTGCTTGACCTTTGTGAAAAAAATCAAATTACAGAACTTTATTACAAATTAACAATGAGGTTCTTAATCATCTCAATTTGCCCAGCTATAATACAGTCTTAAAACCTTGAAAGGTGTAGGAGGAAAAAGCCAGACTTCAAAGAAAAAAGAGTTGGTCAGAACCAAAACAGGATGATGTCTTTGAGGAAAAATAAGAAGAGCCCCGTAATGCAGATAGTCTGGCTGTCTGTTCAAGGGGGCAAAAGCAAGCACTTGAGGCCTTTGGCGTGGATCCTTTGTTCAGGTCCTACAACCGGCATTTCATATTCATTTCTTCTCGCTGGAGGACTCAGCGGGCCCCGGCTGTGGCCTCACGGCCATCTCGTAGTTTAGGGTTTCCCGGGCATCTGTGCCTAACTGAAGTTGGCAAGGTACGTACGTTAAGGCAGTTGCTGACGGTGGGTCCCTTCTCCGTGAGTTTTCTGCTCCTCTTCCTGGCTGTGCCAGGCGAAGAGGGGGTCTATCACCCCGATGGATAACCGGGCCCGCTAGTTCTCCTGTACCCTGGTCGTCAGAGTTGGACTATTCAGTCAGCACCCACAGGGTCTCCATCCGGAGTAAGGTGTGTGCTGCTGGGCCCGGCACTGGGGGGCCCTCTCCAATCTCCCCTTTCTTTTCCCCACTCTCAGTATTGTGGTCATTTTGCTGGTAGGCACGTGGACGGCCCCCATAAGGTCTGTAATGCTTTCACTCGGCTCTGTATCGACTGCCCGGCACTGGAAATCTAGCGGGGCCTCCATTTGCTGCCTCCCCGCCCTTTTCTCCTTCGAGAACATCGGACCGCATAGCTTCTCAAACACTGACTGCCTGCGCTGGGAAGGGGGCAATCTAGTGTACAAGTATATCTATTGCTTGGTGTCATGTCTGCGGATGAAACCGTATCTGTTTCTCACACCGGACCATCTTACTCTTCCTTAAATTTGTGTTGCGATGACCTTCTTATCCCTATGGGTGAGCCACCGCTCCCTCCACCCCTGCCCGCGGAGCCACGTGGAGTGATGGCAGCCTTGAGGGGCGGTGCTGGGTCTCGGCCCTGCTGCTCGTGTTTACAGTGAAGGGGATGGTGACCGGGGCTGTCTGGGGCCACTGCGGCTCCTCCCTGGGTATGACGGTAATGAGGCCACTGCGGGGGGGGGGGGGGAGAGCAGGGTCAGGGGGGTTGCTCAAGGTTCTCTGGGGTGGCTCCCCCCTCCGGATGGACCTGGTATCGGTTTTTCAAATTCTTTCTTCACTCCCTGGTAGGCAGTTATTCTCTGCTGAAGTTTTACGTGACGCGAGATGATTCCATGGCCCGTCAACACTCATCATAATACAGGGTGACCATTAGTGCCTGCCGACATTGAACTTCAATGCCTTTAGCAGGAACCCAAAATAAGTCATTTACAGAAGACCATCCTTCTCCCAAATCAATGGCTTCCTCCCATGACTCACTGTTTCTTTACGGCATTAGCCTCATTATTAGCAGAGGGAACGAAAAGGTAAACCATACTACCGCAGGGGCTTCACGATGAACACCGCCCTGATGCAAGAGGACACGGGATACTGTGATTTCGGACAGGAAATACACATTTGATCTTTGTCCCAACTTCCTGGTACACAGCTCCTAAAACCCACGGAATCGGGACTGATAGGTGTCTTCCTGTATGCTAGTAAGATGACTCATGGCTGGGGGTTGCCTGGGTTATCTTCAGAATGAGGGGCGGTTGCCAGGGGGCCCCACCTTGTGATCAGAGAGCTGAAAAGCTAAACGTCACCCCAAAACTCCAGCGAGGGGAGAGGGGCGAGAGGCTGAGCTCAGCACTAATGGCCAACGATGTAATTCACCATGCCTAAGTAATGAGTCTCCCGAACAATTCCCCCAAAGGATGGGGGTTTCAGAGGGCTTTTGGGTTGGTGAACACGTGGGGGTGTGGGGAGGGTGGTGTGCCCAGAGAGGGCGTGGAAGCTCCCCACCACCCCTTCCTTCTTTCCTTACCTTTGCATCTCTTCCATCTGGCTGTCCCTGAGTCCCATCCGTTTATCATACAACCAGTAACAAAGTAAGTAAACTAGTTCCTGAGTTTGTTGAACCATTCTAGCAAATGACTGGACCGGAAGAGGGCCTCATGGGAACCTCTGACGCACAGCCAGTCAGCCAGAAGCACGAGTGACCATGCAGGACTTGCAACTGGTATCTGAAGTTGGGGGGGGTGTGGTCTTGTGGGGCTGATCCCGTAACCCGCGGGAGCTGCTGCTATCTCCAAGCAGTGTCAGAATGGAGCGGAGATCCAGGACACTCAGTCACTAGCCACCGGAGAGTTGGAGAACTGCACGGTGTGGGAAAGTCCCCACACTTCAGGTGACAGATGAGAACTGTGTGTGTAAAGGGGAAACAGGAGCTTTCTCCTCATAGGAGGTTCATAATTGACAAATTCCTCAATTACAGGAAATGCCCTCGCACTCTCTCCTGGTTATCATGTCCATCATACTAGAAGTGCTATTAACTGACGAATACTGTTTTTATATACTGATAATACGTTTCCCTCCCTGCCTGGGCCCAATGGGCCATTTTAAAATGGGAGACCCGTGTGCTGCTGCTGCCCCCTTGTGGTAAAACATGGCAACATAAAACACCCACAGGTGTTTTAAGGTCCACTATACCAAGCAACGGGATACGTGGCTAACTCAAGGGAGACTTTGAGTTACTCCCCAAACATTTTCGATTCAGACTTGTTATCACCATAGTTCTTGGCAAAAAGGAAGAGAGTCATTGCTATGATACTACGTTCATGTTTACTATCTTACGCCACAGGAAAGAGTAAGATACTGGGAATGTGGAGGAGCATTTTGGTAAGAAAATGATAAAAGGTTAGAAAAAAACATGAATGGCATATTTTCATCTGGAAGGTCTGGATGACTTCCTCTGACGGGGGAGCTATAAAAAGTCCTAACTACAAGGAGTTAAAACACAACATCGAGGTTTTTGTTAAAAGCTCAGAAGAGTCAGTAGCCACAAAAGAAAATGATGGAGATCAATAGAGGCATTGAAGATTTTACTGGATCAACGTCATGTGTTCCGGATTCCAAGGAGAAATAACCTATGACGTATGCAGGCCAGAAAAGTAGCACATCAGATGTCTGCTGATGAAGAAAGAATCATTGACTTCACAGGTATAGGACTAATATCAGAGAAGAATTTAGTTTTAAACTTTTACAGAAAGCAAATATGGATGAA